ATAAACCTAGTATGCCTAGTTTATTCCCTTAGAAAATACTAGATGTTATATAAAAGAGCTAATCTTATTCCCTTTAACCTAGAAATTATAATTTTAAAGCTTAATATTTAGCTATAGATATTAATGCCGGTTAAAGAAATAATTAAATTATTAACCCCTTAGGCTTTAAAGACTTTAAAGATTATACTTAAATTATTATCCCTTTTTTTATTTTATTTATTATAGATTTAGGCTATAATAAGTTATTATTAGGCCTTAGTTCTAGCGCTATAATTTAGGTTATTATAATATTAGTTAAGGTATTATAAGGTTTCCCTTTATTTATATATTATATTATACTCTTAAGATACTTTAATCTTATATTATAGGTAGAATATCTTATTATATTAAGTAAGCTTATCTTATTAATAATCCCTTTTATAAATAATAAAGGGTATATTAATATTATATATATAGTTAATAACTTAATCCTTATAATTAAATCCTCTTATAATAGCTTTATTAAAATTAGCTTATTATTAAGCTATTAATAATAATAAATTAGTCTTAGCTTTAATATTCTTATCTTATTAGGTAACCGCGATAATCTTAATACTAAGGTCTCTATTAGGCCTATTAATTAATTCTAATAATAGCTTTTATCCTAACCTATCTATAAGGTAGAGCTATTTTATCCTTAGGGGTTTTATTATAATATATTATAGTTTTAGCTAGGGATAGCTATTATATTTAAATTATTCCTTAGTAAGGTATACTTAGTTATAACGCATAATAACTTCTCTTAGTTTTAGATTAATATTATTATACTTAGTCTAGGTTATATTAAGTATCTTAGTTATATAAAGAGCTATTTATAATTTATTATTAATTTATATAAATTTTATTTATTTTTTATCTTTAAGAAATATTTATTGCTATTTAGGCTTATATTATCTTTTTTAGATATCTTATTATTTCTTTTTATATTTATTTACTTTATAGCTTTTCTTATAATAATAATAATATTTAATATCTTAGGTTCCTTATTAAATTATCTTAAGTTTTATTAATCTTATATAAGTTCTATAAGAGATATTAATTTATTATATATAGCCTTAATTAATATTAAATTAAGGTCTCTAAGAGTCTCCCTTATTATAAGGGTTTTATAGCTTTTTTTATAAGAACTATTAATTATTAATTTTAATTACTTAGCTAATATAATTAATAAGGTTATTAAGTTAATCTTCTTTATAAAATTTAATTTATATCTCTTTCTTAAGTCTATTAAAAAAAAAGGATATTAAAGGTTTTTAGTCTTAATTAAGCTTTAAGGTAAACTAAAGGTATTTTATTTTATACTTAGATATAAATCTAATCTAATAGAATATTTTAATCTCTCTTTTAGCTTAGGCCTTTTTATTTATTATTTTAAAAGCTTATTAAAATATAGCTTTAAAGACTTTAAAGCTTAAATAAAGGTTTATAATCTATTATAAGAGTTTAATAAATAGCTTAATAAGATATTCTTTTATAATAAATTTAAATTAAATAATAATATATTTAATAAGCTATCTAATAATATATTAAACCTTATTAAATATTATAATAAATTATATTAAGTAATATATTATAAATATATAGAGCTATATAAAGAATATAAATAACTTATAGGTAATTTTATTAAATTTCTCTAAGGGGTCTAACTTTAAGATTTCTCTTATATCTTTACCTCGCATAATAATAATAATTATATTAATAAGGTCCTAAATATTATTTAAGTATTAGGTATTCTAAGTATATTAAACCTAATTAATTCTTTTAATAAGTTTATAAAGTTTATTTATTTTAATACTTATAATAATAATCTAAGCTTAGAGCTATTTAATTTCTTTATTATTAGAATTTTCTATATTATTTATATCCTTATTTTTAATATTAATTAAGGTAAGTATAATAAAGGGGTAATTAATAAGTAAAACCTATTAATAATTATTACTAAGAGTAATTTAAGTAATTATTATTTTTAATATTATTTAAAGTAATATAAGTAATTTAATAAATAAGAGCTATTAATATATAATAAGAGGATATTTCTTAAGAGATAAATTAATTATATTAATTTATATTAATATTAAATTATATTATATAACCTTAAAAGGTAATATAAATTATATCTAATAATATACTTAAGATATTAAATATAACTAAGTTATATTAATAACTAAGGTAGCTATTATATAAGAAAATATAATAAGTATATTCTATATATTTATAATTAATCCTTAGATTAATATTCTCTAAGTTTAATCTAAGGTAAGACTAATATTTTTAATATTTAGTTCCTAGACTAATATAGGCGATATTTAGTCCTTTTGGTCCCTACTTAGTTAGAGTATTTCTACTATATTTCCCCGCCTAGCTCATAGCATAGCTATGATATCGAGGAGGAAGGTTTTAGTCATAAAGATATAAAGGTTTAAGTAGTAGCTAAGGAGTATAGGCTTAATTAGAGCTTAAATGCGATATCTCGGCGAATTGCTAAATTTGTTAGTTAGCGCACATATCATCTTTGAACATAATGGAAGCTAATCAATAATATAATTCCTGAGTTTTCTCCCACACCAGTCGCCTGTGGAAAACTGCGGAATTCTGATAGTTATTTCATTCTCTTCACTTTCCATCGTCTTTCCGAAAGCAACCCTTCTATCCCACGATCTTCGGACTCAGTTAACCCATCGAGGGCCGGGTTGCCTTCTATCTCACACTTCCCCGAGGCGGTAGCTCGACTCCATACCCGCAGCATCGATAAGAATCCTACTGGCAAATTCGGCTTCCACAAGCCTACATACAACGGGACGCTTGAGCAGAAAAACACTTGGACTGACACGTGGGAAGAATTCTATGCTGAAGAGATGCGGCACGTGCTGAAACTTGAGGAGGAAGCGAGAGGACCGAGTGAAGAGCTACAGCAGCTCTCAGGCCCATTCCTTGACAAGGTCATCCCGAGACTGCTTCGACCTCTGGAGACAGGTGGGAGAAGCATCACGCCCGTCCTTCTCCACGGAGACTTATGGCTCGGAAACGTCTCTACTCGAGAGGGATCTGATGATCCGCTAATGTTTGATGCATCGGCGTTTTGGGGTCATAATGAGTGTAAGCGATGCACATTTTGGCTTTTCTTGCTGACTTCCATTGTTCAACTGACTCCAAATTACCACCTTTCTCTCCTTATTGATCCCCAGCGGCTAACGACAGCAACTTAGATGAGCTTGCAACCCTGCGCCTGCTGCCGGAACACTGCATGGGCTGGGCAAAGGAATGTCTTGAGAGTTATAAAGAAAGAATTCCGGAATCTGAGCCCAGAGAGGACTGGGAAGACAGAAACGCCCTCTATTCCACGTTGGTGCTATCTCTTCCCCGTCGACCTATCTCCCTGGTTTTGCTGACTTGAAGTTGTAGTCGCGTAATCATCCACGACTCGGCTCTTTACCCGGACCAACCACTCTTCAGAAGGCTGTGCGTATTTTTCCACTTCCATTTCCTCCCCCCAAATACTCAATGATAAAAATGGCGTAGCTTGATCGAGGAGATGCGAAAGCTTGTGGAGAAGTTCTCTGGGGACCACATCATCGAGCACCAGCACATAGCCCAATCAACTCAGGCGAATACTTAGGACTGGAGGTTTGAACGAGGCTGGACAGAAGGAAACTGGGCAGATTATCGTAAAACACATCCCTTGTATCTACCAAGCGCTATGGGGCTTGATGTACTAGCTCGCTTTGCGATTGTAGTCTTTCCCTCAGCCAAGCTGATCCACTGCGTATTTCGACATTTCAAGCAACTCGTAGCCAACACCCGAATCACTCCTGGTCATACTTGAGAAACAGTGAGAACTCTGACGAACCATTAAAGTGCAGCTTCTCGAATATGCATTACAAGTTGAGTTTATATCAGTATGCCTCCCTTCACCCTCGGTCTTCTGGCTCCGTTATCCCTCCAGGGCCGGCCTTCAACAATTACAAAGAATTAGTAAATCATCCTCAGAATCTCGCCTCATGTGGATCTTCTCATCATCATGCCTCTGAGATATTAGTTGTCCTTTTCCTAATCCCTTCAGCAATCCTATGATGAGAGTTTTTGCTCCGTAGAAGCTTCAGGCATTGTCATTGCTTGTGTTGGTGCGTAGTTGCTAGGCACCTGAACCGCCGGATCAGAAGCATACACTTTAGTTTTGCCGCTGTGGAGCTTAGTTGCAACCCTCCTCTTACAGTTGGAACAACTGTGGTGGATATCTTCGGCCCATCCGGCAATACTGGGAAGACAAGCCAGGCAGATGCAGACTAGGCAGCAAAGGACTGACAGGAGACTTTAAACAGCTCTTAGTCACTTGTCTTGTCAATATTCGTCGTCATTCTTACCACTGAGTATCACTTCCTTCTTTCGAAATAGTCGTTTCGGTCCGTTTCTTGCAGAACGGACAATCGATAAACTCCGGCCTCTCTCCCAGTCGGCTAAGGGGCGTCACCATTTGAGGAGCCGGGACATCATTGATCTTCAGTTCGTTTTCTGGTGCCACCTGATTGGGAAATTGTACAGGCACCGAGACGGTGTTGGCCCTGTGCATTTTTTAGCCGACTGCGCTTCAGGGGGCAGGTGAGCGGAGCATACTCTGTCTGAATCAGATCTGCGGGCACCGTTTTCGCTGGTCCAATGCCAGAAGTCGTTGTAGTTGTCGCGGTTGAGGCCATTTTCGATCACAATAAATGAGTAGGTCAAGAGACCAAATTAGCCCGGGTATAACAACGGTAACTGCCTTATAAGGCATGAGACACCACTATTTCTTGGCACCTGAGTTCGCCCGGTTACAGTGAGGTGATCCAACCCCCTGCAGCAGCCGAGGCAATCTTCCCATTGTAGCCCCCAAAGGATGCGGCGCAGCACATCTCCTGATCTCCGATTGGCATCGGACACGGCACGAGGGGCCGAGTTCCATATTTTAAAGACTTGGCACCCGAGTTTGTCTCAATTTCATAGCGTGGTACAACCGAAGACAAGGAATGCCCCAGCCTCGATCACTCCACCTGAAACAAGTGCGACTCTGCAAGGTACAATATGGACTCGCTTATAAGACTCACAAGCTAATACTCACATTCAACTCGCGCCTTCAGCTATGATCATCATGCGTTTAATCAAAGTCGCCTCTGTCGACTCCCCTCGGGGCCTGGAGATGGTCGATTTCAGCCCCAACAATGTTCCTCCCTACGCCATTTTGTCTCATACCTGGACCGACGACGAGGTCATCTACACAGACGTGATTAACAATACCGCCAAACAAAAGAGTTCATATCACAAGGTTGAGTATACTTGTCGGCAAGCAATCGCCGACAGCTACGAGTATGCTTGGGCCGACAACTGTTGCATCGACAAGCGCAGCAGCGCCGAGCTATCAGAGGCGATCAACTCCATGTTTGAATGGTATAGCAAGGCCGAAAGATGCTATGCATACCTAACAGACTGCCCTGGAGATTTCGACATGACCACGCTTGACTCTGAGTTTACCGGCAGTCGATGGTTCACGAGAGGATGGACACTGCAAGAGCTAGTAGCTCCCAAAGATCTCATCTTCTATGGTGAGAACTGGGTTCGCATCGGGGAAAAGAGAACCTTGAGTCACATTCTATCATCTATCACGGGCATAGACGAAGATATCTTGATAAACATCCGTCCGATCCATTCGGCAAGCGTCGCAAAGAGAATGTCTTGGGCAGCCTCACGTGAGACGACGCGACCCGAGGATGTCGCTTACTCTCTCATGGGGCTTTTCAACGTTAACATGCCGATGCTATACGGAGAAGGAGATAGAGCGTTTCTCCGACTACAAGAAGAAATCATGAAGCAATCCGACGACCAGTCAATCTTTGCCTGGACAGACCGCGATGCCCCTGCGGATGCACATCACGGTCTCCTCGCCAAATCGCCCACCAACTTTAAATATTCCAACTCTGTCGTCCCTTACGAAGACTGGGAGCCGAGAACTCCATACTCAATGTCCAACCGAGGTCTTCGCATTGATCTTCACCTCACTCGACAAGACGGCGATATCTTTGTCGCTGCCATCGACTGTCCTTCCCCAAAGGATTATGAGAACAATAGCTTCTTAGCACTCTACCTACGGAAGGTTTCAGATGGTGATGAACAGTACGCACGTGTTCGAGTTGGTCAGTTTGCCCAGGTCAATGAGCGAGGCAACCTTCGCTCTATATACGTCCGGCAAGATGCCCAGCCATCTCCAGTTGAGGGGGTGTTTCCAACTCACGTTCTACAACTACGCAAAGGCCCTGATCCGACCGTATATGGAGTAACAAGAATCTTATCCTCACCCGGAAGCGTACCTGGCGAGGTTGAAGCTGTTACTTCATCCAGAGCATCACCGCGTGCATGGCTCTCGCGGAAATGGACTACCACATACCGACTCAACAAGGCAGCTGGCCAAGCCTCGCTAGGAATAGTGTTTAGACGTGACGACAAGGAGCGACTTCTGGTGATACTAGGCTCAGCCCCAGGACTAAAGGTTGCGTTTCACGCAGTGGAGCTGCCCATGTCGGTAACTCTAGAAGGCGAGGAGAAAGGGATTACACCGGCATTTGAACAGATGCAGCCTTTATTTCGGCCTAAGCTATGTGGACAGCATATCTTGCTCGACTATCACAGAATCCGAGTCGATGCACAACCAATGGTACACAAATCGTCCAAATACTACTTGATCGACATCCAGATCGAGGTAGTCAGCGAATCATCACGGTTCTTGGAGGCTTGGGAGGCTATAAAACGTGCAGAAAGAGTCATGCAGGCGGAAATAGAGGCCAAAAACATGGAACAGCTGGAGTTAAAGCATTCAGATAAGAAGGGGTGGCGCAAGTTGCTATCTCGGTGAGCTATAACCAGCCTCCAGTTAGGTACATTATAGAGCCTGCCATCGTGGCAGGGAGTAGCCCACCTCAAATCCCAAGACTCTCACGTTTAATTGGCGTCATTCTGAGCTTCCTTGTAGTAATCGTCGACAGTCTGGTAGGCAAGCCTACTGACCCCCGTATTCTCGCGCCCGCCAACATGTTGGATACCGAATTCAGTCTGCCCACCGTGTACGCTTTGCAGGTCACAAAGAGTGTCATGGATGCACTTCCAGGACTCGGCGTGTTCCAAGTCGAGCCCATTCCCAAGCTTCCAACCGTTCTGTGCACAAGTTCGGAGATCTCCTCGCATCATCCTTGTGAGGTATGCGGAGGTCGTTCTGATGCAGACGTTCGAGTATGGATTGCCGCTGGAGAGAAGATTTTGAATACTCGTCAGGGTGTGTTTCAAGGCCTGGATCTCGGCAAAGGACAACGTTTGCGGCATTGGATCTGGGATAATACCAGAGGAGTTGTTGGGGGAGTTTGAACCGTAGTAGACGGCCCATCCTGAGCGTGCACGGTAGTAGACGAACCATTCTGCGCGTGGAGCGGAAGAGACGGGCCATTCTGCGCGTTGACATTGTTCGCGACGGGCGCCACTGATGGCGACGAAAAGCCAGCTTGTGTCGGGTTCATGAGCGCCTGTTTCGGGGTTTTCTTTCACCGGGTGCGAAGTTCCTGTCGGCTCCTAGTACATGATTGTGTCGCTGCCCATCACCATCTTGTCCCGTCGGATGTGAGTCAGCGAGGCGGAGCTTTCGGTAGCTGATTACGTCGTCGATTTCTTGGGTTGCCCTTGATAGAGATGAATGCCTGGAATGTTTTGGTATGGATGGGATGGTGATGCCAGAGAGTCGAGGGCTGAGCTGCGCAGGGAAGTAGAAGGAAGGAGTCTTGTTGACCACGTGCTAGATCACGTGGCACCCCGTTCTTCAACATCAAAGGAATAAAAGAACACCCAACCTCGGCCTCTGCTTCTTGCATTTTATCCCTTTTATTGCTTTACCACGGCCTTATTATTATATTCTTCTTTTATTATAGTTAACATTTAACATTATATAATCTTCTACTTATTTTTTCTCTTTGAGTTAGGATATTCTTTCAACAGTATGAAGTAATGTATGTGCTATACTATCTTGCCCCCTCTCAGATGGGTAGGAAGTCAACCCCAGGGAGACTTGATCCTGCACGACAAGAAGTCTCGCGATTGTTTTGGCCATGTCCCGCCGCCTCCAACCTCTAATGAGTGTCTTAGGACGTAATGTCTGCATGCTTAGGTCAGAAAGCTTTGTCGTGCCATGAAATAAAGCATTCGTAGAGAAAGGATAGTCATGATTGTAGAGTTGTATTATTGCTATCGTTAGACTCATACGAGTAGTTTAAATACAAGAATGCCATGTATAACTAGCCCATAGCGAATGTTTACCCCCTCCAAGGTAAACCCTAATGTAAGTCGTTGTCTTGGGACAAATATCGTCCAAGCCCAAGAAAGGTAGCCAAGAGGATCGCCATTTACTGGTTTGGCCAGCAACCGCGCCAAGAGCCCGTAACCTGCTCAATGGCGTTGTTGACCTGCCAGGCGAGTCTAAAATTACACGTCAGTGAACCGTATTTGTTTTCCTCAACTGGCCTACACTTACCCAGCAGTAGTGCTCAGATCAGCCTGCCACCAGCCATCATCTCTCTTCCAGCACTGCCAGTTGTGGACAGTGAGACCCTTGCCTCGAATGGCAGCTGGCCGTATCGATCCTCACAGTATCCCTGGAACTTGAAGGAAAGGCGCTTCAGGCCGCCATCTCCCCAAGAGCCGTTGCACTCCCAACCGTCAGCCATGGCGGCAGGGGCAGAGGCAGCCACGAGAGCCGTAATGGTTGCGAGGGAGAACTTCATGTTGAAGAAGGAGAGGTATAAAATCTTTGTAAGGTGGTTAATGGTTTGTTTCTGCTGTGATTGTTGCTGCTGTTGATGGAAAAAGATCGTGTCGTCGGTCTGCCCTTTTATAATTCACGTCTTTACTGTGCCCAGCTGCTTCGTAGCCTAATTTGTTTCACTCGGCTTATAGGAATTTCTATAACAGGTAGAATATTGCGCTTGAGACTGTTTATTCCTAGTAAAGACCTGTTCGTGCCGATCATAATGCTGACTGCAAGGGGTCGAATCAAATCTTGGTGATCACTGCGAGGGAGTTTCTTCTAGCCCGCACTCGCCCCCTCTACCCTTTCAAATATTCCATCATTGGCCTACCTCTCCTCCATCCTTTGTACTACGCAGACCCCAATTTCGGGCTTCTAGGTGCTCAGCTCAGCCAAGAGAGCCAATCATTCAACCCAGCATCGCCATACTCGTCTCGGATGCGCCTTTTCCCGTTAATTCGTGAAACTACTCACTTGATGAGGATGGGCAGCAATGGACTTTTGGTACCAATATCTCGTCAGTTGCTCCCTCCTTCCAGCCAGGGCTGTCCACTGATCGCCCCAGCTGAAAAATCCTGTCATCCGTCGTAAGCGGGGATCCGGGCAGGTCAGTGTCGCGTGTTCAACAGGATCGACATCTCGCGGTAGTTTTCAACTGCCGTAATCCTTGTGCGCGGGACGTGCCGAGATCTCATATGCCTAGTTAGAGCATTCCGACTGGGCGCCACCTGCATGACTTGTAATCCTGTCAGCAGCCAGGTCAGCCTCCGCCTTGTCTCTCCACACTGCGATAACCTAGCTACCTGCCATTCTCGTGCAAGTTCGAGCGCGAAATGAACCCAAGAAAGACATAGTTCAAAATAGGTAAGTTCAGAATATGGGGAAGGGGCAGATGTGACTTTTCTCAATAGCTTTTCTACCTAGTATCTCGCGCGTCGGGCTTCTCTTGCACCTTTATGATCGACAGCAATGCGGAAGAAAGACTCTCCGCTTACTACAAGTGCAGTCCACAGTATGTAGTGAGGCAGTCATCCCCAGTCCTCCAATTGCTCTAGGCTTTGCAAAGTCTTGCATAAGGATTCAGGGAGCAGTCAGGCTTACTATGCGGTTGCACAATGAGGCTTAGAGTCGGCCTCAAGACATCAGCTGCTCCCACCTGCGCCATGTGCCACAAAACCCTATGAGCTATGTCAATAATAACCTCTTTGACGATAATGAAGAGGGGTTGGGAGCCATGAGTCCTGTCAATGTAAGTAAACGTAATAGAAACTTCTGCGTCCTCTCAAGGGACTTATTTAGAGGAAGACGACTCAGGGAATGCTAGTAAAGCATGCTACTGCTAGGAGTTGCACTGCACGGAGTTTGAAGAAATTAGACGACAGGGCCGAAGTTCCAAGCCATGCAGGGATATCATGTGATTGTTTAAGAGATCTGTTTCATGCAGAGAGCAAGTGCACCACTTTCCAGACCTTCCCGGTCGCATACGGCACGTCGGTATTTTAAATTTCGGTTTCAACTTCCATGTAGCTATAGGGTAAGCCGTAGTCTTAGGGCATTTCAGATACCGAGTCACCACCCAAGATATCAATCGGTAATAGCAGGGGCCTTTTTTACAGGAAAACAAAGCGTTGATCCCTAGATGTTAGGGAGATAATTCGAGTAATGCTCCATGTCTCAATCAGAAATACAAGTTATTTGCATTGCTCACTCAAGTCGATATACTTCAATTTGCTAATCTTATTTGCTCCTAGCGGGTGAGATCCATGAATCATTACCCGTATCAACCTATCAGACTGTGGCAGCCCATGTTGTACAACACATCAAAGTTAAGCGAACCGAGAACTCGCACGTTACACTCAATATTTGGGAACGAGTCCATATTCGAAGGATTTAAAACCACCTGACACATCAACAACAGTCCACATCGTCTATTCCTCAGCTCAATACTAGCAACGCACCACCAAAGCCCTGTTCTCTGACCGTGCCGCCACCGCCAATCGCTAAAGCTTCGCGTCCCAACCGGAATGCCCCTTACCTCATTTGGAGGATCGACATACTAGCTCTGACGTCAGTGGTGCCCGAAGTGAACACGGCATGTCTTGGCTGGCCCTGATTTGGGACGAATCCGCGGGCAGCTGAAAGCTGATGTCTCAGCCTTGACCCAATAATGACCGCAGACATGTCGTCAAGGCAGGTACATGGCGCAGTGATGCTCGGATCCGATGATGTATGATGTCTGTGGATGGGATCTTGGTAGTGAGGCCGCGGCCTCTTAAATAGACCTGTCCCAGGTTTGCTAATACTGACTACACAACTTTACTCATTATTCTCTGCCCATTCAATCAACTGCAAAAATGGTGATTCTCGTTACTGGTGTAAGTATGCTTACCGCATTCCCCATGATATAGTGCACTAACGGCAGGAAAAGGGAGCCGGCTTCCTCGGCCGCAACCTGGTGCAACTTCTTCTCGACCACAATCACGAAGTAGTAGTCATTGATTCATTATGGACGGGCTCGCGCAGCAATTTTGATGATCTAAGAGGCAACAAGAAGCTACGATACATCCAGTGCGCAAATCCATCTCCCTACCGCCTCCAGCATTCTAACATGTGCAGATCGGACGTGAGGGATCCTCTCCCCTCCATAGCTGGGGTCGACCAGATCTACCATCTCGCGTGCCCTGCAAGCCCGGTACACTTCGAGACGCGCCCAATCGATATTCTACAGACCTGCTTCAATGGCGCGACGAATGTCCTGGATTATGCAGTCAAGCACAATGCTCGGATACTACTCACCAGCACCTCAGGTACTACCTCACCAACTGCGCAACCTCTACCATTTGCTAACACCACTTATCAGAGGTTTATGGTGATTCTCAGATCTCATGCCAATCAGAAGACTACCGAGGGAACGTGAATTGTTTTGGCCCCCGCGCCTGCTACGACGAGGGCAAGAGAGTTATGGAGGCCCTGGCATACGGCTACCATCTTGAACACGGACTCGAGGTTCGGATCGCCCGAATCTTCAACGCGTACGGACCATTTATGAGCGAGGATGACGGCCGTGCAGTCCCCAACTTTATCATGTCAGCATTGAAGGGAGAGCCCATGACCATTTTTGGAGACGGACATTCTACCCGATGCTTCCAATACGCCAAGGACTGCGTGGAAGGGTTAGAAGCGCTAATGAATAGCGACTACTCAAGCCCCGTCAACATCGGAAGCGATTGCGAGATCGAAATTAGCGAGATTGCAGAGACGATCGCCCAAGTCGTTGCTTCAAAACTGGGACAACGCAACTCCGTACCGATCAACCTCCTCCCAGCACGAGAGGATGACCCCATCAACAGAAAGCCAGACACGACACTCGCGGAGACAGTTCTCGGTTGGAGGCCCAAGGTTTCGTTACAAGAGGGTATTTCAACGACAGTGGACTGGTTTATTGAGAGGGAAAGAGAATTGGTGAGCAGACTTTAGGAGAGGGGGGATAAGGAGACATAGACAGCGTATCTTATGAAGTGAATAAGCGAGTGTAATAGTTCTTCTTCCATCCTGATAATAACGACACCTGTCATGACCTAAAGGTATGCTGTGACAGCCATTTTCTCAACAGCCTCAGCCATCACTTCAGTTGCCATCAAGACTTCCTCATCCTGACCAGTCCACCCAACTACTTGGAAGCTGCATGGAGCACCATGCGCTGCTTCAGAATCATCTTGAGAGAAATTTTTGTTAGATTTGCTCGGATTGGAAGAACGGGAAAACTTACAACCCTCCATTGTCTGCGAGTCAACAGCCTTGCCGGCTTTCAAGAAAGGGACAACGGAAGCAGGACACTAGATAGTTGAATCAACAGTGGGTAAGGTCTCTTGGTAGCTTTACCGTAATCACTCACATCAAGGAGGTTCCAAATCATTGTATACCAAGGCACGCCATATTTCCCATGAGGTACAGCCGTTCCGCGACTGCCAGGGCACAGCAACACATCAATCCCACTCTGCATCCACACTTGATGCCAAGCGTGACGGTACTCCTCACGGTCACGGTTGAAATCCCATAGGTCATCCAACGTGAACTCTCGTGGTTCAGTACCCGAGGCAGCATTGATGTCAAGCAGTGCCTGGATCGGCTGCTCATCGCCATCTGCGAGGATTTTCATAATCTGATTCTTGTTGTCCAGCTTTGTTGAGTTTGCAAAGATCAGAGCGGCCTGAGCGAGAGGTAGTGGGGCTGTGATGGGCTTGACTTGGTGACCTGCCGCTTTCAGAGCCTGAGCTGCTGCATCTAAAGCTCGAGAGACAGGTGGGAAAACAGGAAGCTCAGAATCACCAGTCCAGTATCCGATAGTTAGCTGCTTCTTTCTTGGAACATCTCTCCAGGGACTGACAAGAGCCGTCGAGTCACGAGTCCAGGGCTCCCCTTGGATGACCGTCTTGCAAAAGAGGGTCAAATCTTGAGCGCTCTGGGCGTGCGGCCCTAGACTGGGGGTAACTCCTGGCCAGCCTCTGGGGATCAAAGCCTGCTGACCACCCCAAGGAATACGATTGGCTGTCGGCTTGAACCCGAAAGCACCGCAACATAAAGACGGGGCTCGAATGGAGCCTCCAATGTCGCTGCCCACGCCGAGCAAGGACCCTCGGAAGCCAACTAGGGCGCCCTCTCCTGAGCTGCTTCCGCTTGGAGTGAGGCTCAACTTGTGCGGGTTCAATGTGTAACCGAAGACGTTGTTCATGCCTTCGCACACCTGATCGATGTCAGCCATGCTCAGACGTAAGAGAAGAAAGATCAGAACTCACGAAGAGGGTCTGAGGGACGTTGGTCTTGCAGTACAGCACTGCACCGGCCTCCAAGAGCATGTCCACCAAGACTGAGTTGGTGTCAGCCTTGGGCTTGGTCAGATATGACACAAATCCGAGAGTAGCCATTTCGTCTTTGACCATCAACATGTCCTAGTATTAGAGAATATCAGTGTGCTGCCCCAGCCGTCAAAGACACCTCTGAAGCTAAAGGGATACCAGGCATCTACTCACCTTAACACTGATTGGCATGCCGTGAAATGGCCCCATAGGCTTCCTCTCTCTGGCTAAGAAGCCATCACACTCCTTTGCCCGCTCCAAGGCCTTTTCAAAGAAAATCTCTGTCAAGCAATTCGTCTATCATAGCATCAGCACTCCTGCAAAACGTCTAAGCACCTAAGGGATATGCAGACCAGTTGCTGTGCGGCAGCAGCACGCTTGCAAAAGGCAGTTGTGACTTCGACTGACGAGATAACCCCGGTGGCCATCATCTCGATCAGCGTAGACGCATCGTACTTTTCGGTAATCTCGCGCTCTTTGTTGGAAAGAAAATTGGCACTATCAAGAAGATCAAAGGCATTGGCGTCGGACGTGTGGTGGACTTGGTTGGTGATCTCGTCTGGGAGGCGCCATTCAAGACGAATCTGAGCATAAAGATGGGCTCGCTTGGCGTCGATGAGTGCTTTCCAATCCGTAGAAGTCATTTTGACGAGGAACTTTTGAAGAAATTCAGGTATGAAGGAAGATGGGTCTAGATGAGGGACTCTTGGGGGACTTGTTGATAGAGAGGGTTCATAACGAAGGTTCCTTGGCCGCCATTTATAGTGTCGAGTAACGCTTCACAGGATGAAGGAGACGCCCAGTCGCCTTCGGTCCTCCCATCGAAGCCGAGGAAGGATCAAACCAGCCGAGGCAGCAACAGGCCAAGACTAGCGATCACAATCAGTGATAGGAGTTCATTGATTTGTAAAGGATCAACTCCGCGGCCAAGAACGAGTTGAGTTGGAGGTTGCGGATAAGCCAGCATGCCCGATTAGGCAATTCCTGGAGAAGCAATCGCTGTATCATGCACCCCACGAACAAGATACACGTTTAGCTAGTTGACCCCTGTCAACACCCTCTTGTTGGCGCCGGGGAAATTGAGAGTCCGATGGTGGGATGGCCGATGAGGGGAATTACAGGAGTACCGTGGGACGTGTTGAGTACATCATGTTTGTTGTGATAAGTGTTGGAAGCCGGTGGCTGTGTGTATCAGTGGGCAGCAGAGAACATGCCCTCCTCCATGACCTGTTTCAGGATTAGTACCCATGACCCCAACAGACGCTATTCCAAAGCTTGCATTCATAGCACAGACGGTACTTGCTCCGTGCTTTGTTGCTTGAAAAAGTCGAGTTACCTTCCTTTACACGCGACCTTTATACAGACGCGTATGAATTTTCTTCGTTTGCGAAGCAATAAATTCATAGACGTGCGTGGAGAGAAAGACAGGCTTTTATTTCATTGTCTCTGGCTGCTGACTCCCTGTTGATCTTGGTTGTCGACGGGGCCATCTGCCGGTGTCCGGAGGCTCCGAACCCCGACCAGCGGAGGCTCCGGGGGAGATTTTAAGCCTACTTTGAGTAATTAAGGGCTACCTAGCTGTTGTTCCTAGTAGTCAAAACTACGAGGTAACCAATCTTAAGCCAGAACAGACTCTGCTGTCTCCACTGATCTGAATGGGCTTCAGTTAATGTATAAGAGATGGGATCCCCTCAAAGTCGGTATCCAACTTTGTTCTCTCAGTCCAATAACGCCCAAATTGACCACTACCTTCCTCTGTTTTCATTAGCAACCACCCCACGCACGCGCATTATGCCTACTCTTGCCATCGCTGGTGGAACCTCGGCCAGTCTTGGTCGAGCCATTGTCACTGCTCTGTTATCCTCCCAACGTCACTCATTGTGGAACGCGGTCATACTCTCTCGGTCTCAAAAAGTCCCCCTCTGGCTCCGCGCCATCGACAAAGACAGCACACGTACCCAGGTTCGCGCAGTCGATTACCTCTCCACCGAATCTTTGGCACAGGCCTTGAAAGGCGCCCACACTGTCGTCTCGGTCACCTCGGCCATTGACGGGACTCAGGCCCAGATACAAAAGAATCTTTTACATGCTGCCGTCAAGGAGGGCTGCAAGCGGTTTGCCCCGGCGCAGTGGGTGTTTGGTCCAAAGGGAGTGACTAGCATCCAAACCACACGGTCGTTCTTTGAGGGTGTGTGGGACGAATGCCTCAAGTTCAAGAATGAGATTGAGTGTGCCAAGTTCAACCAGGGCGCATACATGAACTATATCGGCCATGGGATATATCCGACCCCTTCAAAAGTGGCCGATGACACAGCTCTCGAGCTGATGTCGGCAGGATATGGTTATATGCCTGGCGAAGACGAGGCGTGTGAGGGTCTGTTGAGACAAGGCGATTTGGCAGATGGCTCAGGCGGCTTCCTGATTGGGCTTCGCAACGGCATCGCAGAGCTTCCTGTCAAAAATGATGGCTCCTGGCCCCGGATCACCACGACAACGGTGGGAGACGTAGGCCGGTTCTTTGTGGCATCTCTCCTGTTGCCAAAATGGGAAGAATCCATGAGCATGGTTGGCGAGACCCTCACCATGGGCGAGCTCCTCGCGCACGCGGAAGCCGTCACAGGAAAGAAGTTTCTAGTGAACCGATTGACACGAGTTTATCTCGAGAAAAGGTTATCAGAAATTGCGCCGGACGACTACATGGCGCAGATGTGGACAGAGTTTAAACTCGCCTATACACGGGATCTCGATGATGAGATGGTCTTGAAGCCCGTGGTCAATGAGCTTTGTCCTGAAGTGCGGCCCATGGGAGTGCGGGAGTATATGGAAAAGTACTGGGCTTGAGTGTAGAAATGGCAGACACGCAAGGATTATCTATCTATTCTCCTCACTTCATCCTATCCTGTGACTCCTGTGAGAGTCTAAGAATGACATAACCAGCCTTCTTTCTCTTCGTCTTTCCTTTTGCTTGCAACTCGCGTAAGACTGACTCGCTCGCAGCTCTTCCCGGTCGATGCGTAGCGCCCTCGTGCATAGCTCCAACGCGTTTTCAAGCGTAGTCAAGGGTGCGACCTGCAGCGCTCTTTGAAACACCAAGAGTCTGTCCTGCAGAGCCATCATGGTCACTTCCGCACTCAAGATTATCTCCTTGGCCTGGCTCGCGTCACCGTAGAAATAAGCCGGCCCCGTCGCGCTTCTGTAAGAGAGGACCGGCGACAGCTGACTAAAGATGTGTTCCCAAATCCTTACTGCCACTACTTCGTCCCTAGGATATCCATCTTCCTCCCCATGATATCTATCCTGGATGCTTTTGCCATCAATCGAAATGACTACATCGTCAAGCGTCCCTAGTAGCATACTGAGGTTGGATTCGGTCGTTCTCAATATCATGAGGGCCTTGTCCAGCGTTTCATAAATCGATTCTGCCATTGGGATCAGCACCTGGCGAGCCGCTTTGTCCATTCTCCAACTGCTTGTTTTTGTATAAGCTCCTATGAGTCGGTAGTAGAAAGGGGGCTGAGGGGGTATCATTCCCTCCAGCTGAGACACGACTGCCCCAATTTTTTGTTCGACCTCCGCCACTAAGCGATTGGTGACCATATACACCTCGACGACCCCGTCGACTGCGTCAGCTGAGTAGTCCCAGTACTTTCCTACAAGTGAGGGGGCGCCCAGAGGTTCAATCAACCTCCCGACAACATGCCCCATCAGTTGCAATTCGTAAGGCATATTGTGGTTTTCAGTAAAACTGACTTGTGCTTCGGCAAGGCTTGGGCCAATCCGAAGTTCCCTCAACATCTCGTCCAAGGGAGCTGGAAGAGGTGGTGCGTTGGGGGGACTACCAGGTGTATAGTTGCCACCGAGGTACCATGCAATCCAGACAAGAATAAAGCCGAAAAACCACCACCGGAGGGTCGGTGTCCATTTCGACTGAATCGACTCAAACAAGCGACTCATCGGCGTTGGCGCTGCGGACTTCGGATGCTCCGGCTGCCTAACACCAGGATCGGGTTGTCTTTCTGCTTCCTCCTGGGCTTCATGCCGCTCCCAGGCGCGCTGTTGTTCCTCTTGTTGGCGCCTCTCGTCTTGGCGGCGTTTTTCATCTCTCTGGCGTTCTTCTTCTCGTTGACGTCGGGCCTCTTCCTCTCTCTGCTGTTGTTCTTCCTCTTGCTGACGTTGATGCTCCTGTTGTCGACGTTGCCGGTTCCGCTGCTGTTGCTCGGATTCTGTGGCTCCTTCGCGGGCCGCTGCCTCCCCCTTGCCACCAGGTCTCTCCTCGTTGTATTGTTTGCGTTTTATATCATTAGATAAAACGTCAAAGGCATGTTGAATCTGAGAAAGCTGTCAGGCCCGTAACCCACGGGTTGAGAAATGACATACCTTCTGGAACCTTGTCGTGGCATTTTTGTCGCCTGGGTTCTTGTCAGGATGATGCTTCCGTGCTAGGCGTTTGTAATTTGCTTTGACTTTCTGTTCAATATTCGCCTCATCCGCCGAGTCGTCTATTTCCAGAATACGATAGTAGTCAGCGCCCTCGTCCATTTCTGCTCAAGGGAAGAGGTTGATAAGAAATTTCAGTCGCGTCCAAACGTCAGCTGAGTCATTTTTGAGCAGTTATTTGCATACCTTCTTTCTATTGGAGAGATATCGTGGATCAAAAAGGTGGCGTTTGATATGTATGCCTACCCCTGTCCTGTAGTCTTCAGTTTTTTCCGCCACTATAATTCACACCCCTAGAGCCTCTATAAAAGCGGCGATGCATTTTTTGACGTTCTTGTTGTACTAATGACTGCCCCATCCCTACACGGCGGATGGGGGGGTTCAGAAAGGGCGACACATGGCTTACTCAAGGCTGCCTTAAAGAGCACGTTTCCTGCACAAACAGATAATCCTTGATTCAACTTTGATAATCCTGACTTAACCCATGGCAAAGGCGTCTAATAGTAAAGGCCTTAACTGACAACATTGGGGTAGGGATCATAGCTTGGCTGCCCTCGAACAGTACAACTTTATCGGTCGCCACATCTCAAATCTCGGGTGTTCCCTCCAAATCCGTCCCACTTTCACCCACTTTCATCCCCAACTAAATCTGTACAAAGTCCAGAAGCACGGCGTCTTCATCCTGGACCATATCCTCTTCATGGTCCTCTTCCGTAGCGGTCTCGGTGATGTTCGCGCGCACCCTCATCGCCATTGAGGCCTTTACCAAGTGACGCGCTATCTTGACGGCCGCATCCTTTGATGAAAGGTAGGTGACATCTAGAGTAAAGCCTTCGGTATGCCCCTCAAAACCAAACAGGTTGGAATTTCTCCGGAAGTTTCGAACAAGCTCTGTATCTACGAGCTTTCCGTGACTCTCGCGGCCATCGCAGACCAGCCGCTTCAGGTTCACTGACTCCTCGCACACAAGGGTGATTGGGATGAACTGGCAGTGACGTTCCTCGGCGCAGTGCATGTATTCCAGGCTGGTATTTATACCAAGGTCGTTGTCGGTTTGGAAGTCGGTAAAAATGTACGCACAATGGTACGTTTCCTCGTTTTTGATGAGCGGCTTGAAGATGGCTCGACGGATCTTGCGGCGAAGTTTCTGATAGCCTTCTTGATCACGGTCAAGGACTGCATCGGCAGGGTTGATGAGGAGATGATTGTGAATAAGCTTGACAGACCCGGTTTGGAAGAGTGAGACCAGGTGTTTGGCGATTGTAAGCTTGCCTGTTCCAGGGAAGGCATTGATGTAGATGATGGGCGCAGGTGGCCACACGTTGCGTGGAGATTCCATTTTGCGTTGATCTGATGAAATTTGGTGAAGCTTGGTGATGGGAGTTTTTGATGATGAAGGTGTGAGAAGAAACGACAGAGGAAGAGAAAGTGCTGCGCCTTGATATAGGTAATGTCAGAAAAATCTTCGATATACTTTTCAAGTCAAGGTTCATGTATCCTGCGTTGTGGAGGCTTATATCTTTCCCAAAACCTTGAGTCCCAACGCTCAACATATTTTCGGTCAAATAAGCGCGGTACATGACCAATAATCCAAATCTTAGAGCCATGTCCAAGTAACTCAAAAATGGTAATCAAGTTAGTTATGGTCAGGTCTAATTCATCCTTTGTGTGGTCACCTTATAGCTGACAAAGGCACAACACACAGAGCTCCACTGAAATACCGCCTTCTGTGACTTTCATAGTAGAATAATGCGTATTTAGAGAAATAGCTGCATATTCCCTCGAGCAAGGATATATAACGAGGTTGCAATGCTATCGAGGTGGAGATTGCTGCGGTGTGAATGGCTACCCACACCGCGAAACTCCGCACTTGCGGCAATACTAGACATTACGACGCTCGCTTGACTTTTCATCTTCCTCTCCTCCAACAGAATCTAATTCAAGATATACTTCGCCATGGTACCCCCCTCTACTGATAACACCAACCCTGCTGAGGTTCCTACAGACTTCCACAATGCTCAGCACTGGGTGAGCTTGAGAGCTGGGGTATGCTGCGCCAACTCTGCACTCATCTCGTGGGCTAAGGAAAGGCCAGGATGCCTCTGAGGAGGATGCGGCAATAGAAGATGACGCCGCGAGCTCTACCGAGTCAATCTCGTCCAGTATTCTTCACTACCGAACCATCCATGGAAGGACTTATCATTCCAAACGAGGAAACGCCCAGTACTGGTCAGCACAAGAGGTCCCAGCTCGTGCATATTCTTCTGAGCATCTAACGACTTTTAGGACACCAAATGATGAGCACCACAATGAGTCAATGGACATCAAGTACGTTTTATGCTCTAATCGCAACTGGTCAACCTGACATGTTCAGTCATCACCTTCTCTCCCTCTCCCTCAACGGCAAGCTTTACCTTGCTCCGCTAAAAAATGATATCAAAGTGCGTTCTTAGCCCTGCAATACTCGATATTGCTGACGCGGCCTTAGAAAGTCATAGATATTGGAACTGGCACTGGTAAGATCTCCACCACAGTTTCATTAGCAGCTAGGACTCACTATTTCACAGGAATATGGGCCATGTAAGCCCACTTCCCTTTCTCATCCAATGATTGACCAAGTCAGTGATTTCGCCGACCAGTATCCCAAGGCCGAGGTCATTGGGACAGACATCTCTCCAATCCAGCCCACTTGGATTCCCGCAAACCTGAAGTTGTGAGCATTAGCTTCCAAGCTCCCCAGTTCCAACTGACAGGAGAAGCGAAATCGAGGACTGCACCCAAGAATGGACATTTGAACCAGAATCTTTCGACTACGTACATATGCGCTACCTCTGTGGAAGCATCAGTGACTGGTCCGCCCTGTTCAAGGAAGCGTTTAGAGTTTGCAAGCCCGGCGGTTGGGTTGAGAGTTATGAAGCTTCTCCTCGTATGGAAAGTGATGATGGAAGCGTTACTGAGACGTGCGCTATTAATGAATGGGGGAAATTCTTCATCGAGGGTGGCAAGAAGCTAAACCGTACGTTCGAGATCTTAGATAAAGATCTCCAGAGGAAGGGCATGGAAGAGGCCGGCTTTGTCGACGTTCAGGTCTGGGACTTCAAGGTAAGCTTTACCACTAGCCAGCAGCCTCCTATCACATTGGGATCGAACACTCACTTGATACAGGCACCTATCGGCGGCTGGGCCGAGGATCCTCGCATCAAGGAGATTGGTCAGTTTGCCCAGGCTGCTCTCGAGCAGGATTACGAGGGTTATGTGCTTTTCATGGCCAACATGGTCCTCGGTTGGTCCAAGGAGGAGGTCTCGACCTATTGCGCCCAGCTTCGTCGTGAGATCCGCTCGGGCAAGTTTCATCCTTTTTACCGCCAGCGGGTTGTGTATGGCCGAAAGCCAGAGTAATCACACGTTCATATCTTATCTCTGGAAGAACAAGATCGTTATTCGTAATACGGGAAATCTTCCGGCACCAGCCAACTCAGCTACCAGGGCTAGACTTCCCTGTCTTCTTAAAGTTCTCTTTGACCTTATCCAAATACCCATCAACCGTCAAAATATCCAACGCGACTCCAGCCAAACTCTTGCCCACCGCAAGAGATTCGTTGAACGCGCGTCGGGTCCTAGCCACAATCTCAAACTCGGGAGTATGAGGCCCAGTCGCTGGCGAAGTGCCGTTGTCATAATGAATCCCGAAGCCAGCGCTGATTGAAGGAAACTCGTGGCTGATGTTGCCCTGATCGGTGCTGGCTGAGCCCCTAACAGCCTTTGCCTTTTCCTCGTCCAATGGTTTACCACCGAGCTTGGCAAACCAGGTCGAGTATGAGCGAGCAAGGACGTCGTTTGTTCTCATTTCTGTGTAGCCATATGGGAGCTTGGTGAAGTTGAGCTTTGTTCCGGTGGCGACCGCAGCGCCCTTGAAACACTGGTGCACACGCTCCGTCAAGTCGGATAGAGCGTCGACATTGTTGGCTCGAAGCGCCCACATTCCGGTTGACTTGGCCGAAATGACGTTGTAGCGACTTCCGCCAGACTTGATGTACCCCTGGATGATCTCATCCCTGCGCGTCTGTTGGCGTAGCATGGCTAGGCCGTCGTATGCAAGGACGATGGCATCTTGGGCATTAATACATTCCCAGGGAGAAGCGGCGGCATGAGCCTCCTTGCCAGTGTACTCGATCTCAAACCTGGTGATGGCGGTAGTTGTCATCCAAGCAGTGTCACCTCCATCGCCAGGGTGAGAGATGAGGCTGACATCAACCTTGTAGTCATCATAGGCACCTGCATCCAATAACTTGATCTTACCGCCGCCTCCTATTGATAGAATGTCAGTTTCTCAACGCTTGATCGTCTCGGATTGAAATGTCTGCTCACCTTCCTCGGCGGGCGTCCCAAAAAGAACGACCTTGCCGCCCAGCTTCTCCTTTCGCATGATCTCAGCTGTTGCGAGAGCGCCAGATACAGAGGCCATGGCGATGAGATTGTGGCCACAAGCATGCCCAAGGTCAACAAGGGCATCTATAGTCGACTGTAAGCTACCCAAGTGTGTCCGAAGGAGTCAGTTTGCTTACCGTATTCGGCATTAAAGGAAACAACCGGCCCATTACCATCACCCTCATACACAGCGACAAATGCGGTGCTGATGTTGTAAGCTGAGCGGGTAACTTTCCAGCCATCCTGGTCGGCCATGAAATTGGTCAGGATCTTGTGAGCCTTGACCTCCTCGTACTGAAGTTCAGGGTTCTCGTGGATCTCCTTGTTGATGGGCCAAAGCTCCGGATTAATCGAGTCGACGTACTTGGACACGTCTTTCAAGTAGGTCGCAGAGGAACCATCGTCAGCACGGGGCCCAATCGCAGCAGCCATAGCAGACTGGCAAACGCTCAGTGCGAGCAGTGCTCCCTTGTAGAACGCCATGGCAGAAGTGGTCCGGTCCTAGAAGTAGGGATGAGTTGAAAGGTGGTTAACTCTGCGAGTAATAACTAGCTACATGCGAGTATCTTATCTTTATACTTAATAGCCGGCATAAAATCAACTAAGTCCTCCCTAGCTAGATAAAGAGAATAAGCTTAAGTTATTACTAAGAGTTATTACTAAGTATTATTACCGCCTTATATAAGTTATTTATATCTTTATTATATTAAGAAGGACCTTATTAATTATACTCTATAATTATAAGAGAATATATATTAATATAATATAAGCTATAAATAGGTAATATAATATCTAGTATTTTCTAAGGGAATAAACCAGGCATATTAGGTTTATTATTAATAAAAAATCTCGGTATTACTATATAATAGGGTAATTATATCTTAGTAATAGATTAAGAAGGTCTTAAAAATAACTAAAATCTATTAATAACTTAAGGGCTAAGTATTTATCTAAGGTATAATAATTATTATATATATATAAAGGGCTTTATATTTATAGAAATAAGGTCTAAGTAAGGGCCTTATATTTATAAAAATAAGGTCTAAGTAAGGGCCTTATATTTATAGAAATAAAGTCTCTTATAATTAATATATTAAGAAGGGAAAATATAAGAAATAAAAATAATATATAATAGGGGATATATTAGGCTATAATACTTAGTAAATATAATACCTTATTTAAAACCTTTTAATAATATATTTAAGGCTATATTAATAAATATTTTAATTATAACTTTTAAGAGTCTTTTTTTACTATAAGTTATTAATATTAATACTAAGCTTTATTATTTATTATTATCTTATATATTTTCTTATATTATATAGTAGTTATTATAAAACCCCTATCTTATATATTAAAACCTAAGGCTTAATATACTACTTAGAACTAAGCTATTATAATTTAGTAATTTAAGGATAATTATAATAAAAAATATTAATAATTTTTAATATAAGATAAGATATAAGGCCTATTACCTATAATATTAATTATAGAGATTAAAGTAATAAGTATAATTAGCTAAGCTAGAATAATCTTATAACCTAATAATTAAGCCCTCTTATATTTTATAGATATTAACTTATATCATATATGCCTAATCTTAGCGAAATCCGGGATCTCTTATAGCCCCTCAAAATACGAAATTCCGGTTACACGAGCATCCAAGGTCATCTCCAGCATCTCATGCCTGTCCCTTACACCAGCATTTACAATGTAGCCCTGCCATACAGCGGAAGCTCAGCGTCGGTCTCGCAGCGACGCAGCTATCAACATCATTCCTCCTCCTCGTCATCTTGATTGCCATCTGCATTATCGCCACTGCGGTGTGCCACGCCCTCTTCTGCCGCCGTCACGGTGCCGACATTGAGGTCGCCCAAGCCCCTACCGCCAAAAATGATGCTACACATGTTGAAAGAGATGAGGTAGCCGATGAACGCGACACTAGGAACACAGTAAAGGCTGACAGCTCAACTTAGCTCTACTCAGACTCTATTTTAGACATTCAAATTCACACATTTCAACCTTTCGGTCCACTTTATATAAGGATAAAAAATTTAACTTGTGTTAGCTAGGGCAAGTTTTATAATTCCTATTAAAAGAGGATTACTTATAGGAAGAGGTTTATTATAAGAAAAATCTAACTCTTTAAAAAGCCTACTTATATTTTTATCTAATAGAGCTAAGTAAACTTAAGAGATATAAAAAATATTATTTAATACCTTAAGGATAATCTTAATTAATGCCCTAAGGGTCTTATTCTTAGTAAATCTAATAATTTATTTCTTATTTTTATTGCCTTAATTATTTATTTTTTTATTTACTTTTAGTCTAAATTAATCCTTAGATCTTCCTTAGCTAAAATTAAAGCTAATTATAATAATATTAATAAAATTTTTAATTAAAATATTATAAAGATTAAGAATAGATAGGACTAGGGAAAGACTATTAATGTTTACCTCGATGGAGAGAGAATCTAGGCGTTCTATACTATTCCGACTAACTTGCAAGCAACTATAAAGCAGCAACGAACGGGAAGTACTATCTTTCCGATGCTAACCTTGACGTGGCGCCCTTATCCTGATGTGACGGAAGAGAATCTTGAGACATACAATCAAGTGCTATATTCTCCACAAGTAATACATTATCAGACAGTCCAAAGTTAACATACACTAGCTTATTTAGACAGGCGGCACAAAGCTGGGATAGACGAACCTCGTAAGTGCTGTTCTCGGTAACAGCTGATCTTTTGCCGCCGTTAAAGAGGGAGGAGTTCTCCATGGCTACGATAGCCGCTTCAACGACGTCCAGCGCTGAAGCACTGGCGCGGAGGGAGGCGCGGGCGTTGCTTGCGACGTCGGCTAGAAGTGCTTCAATGGCTTGCTGGTGATCAAGATTCGTCTCCCAAGAGTTCGTGGTGCCAGCATGCAGGGCGAAGAACCCGGCTGGCGGCGTCGCGTGGTCGTCCATGGCTCACAGCGGATCAGGGACGTGTCTGGCGGCTTGTTATGAGTGACTACCTGCTGGTTCTGTAGCCTCCAGGAGGTGCTCCTAGGCTCTATATATAATTATGCGCTTGCCGTACCTGGTTCCCCAGGCACATGAATAGGGTACCTGGTAAGGTAATCAACGACTCACAACCTGCCCCGTCACGGGCCGCAACGAGCTACAGACCTCACGCTTTGAGAACAAGTACCATACTCATACTATAGATCACATTCCGTAATAGCAGCATGCGGGGCGTTGTGGCATCTTACAGCAGTCACCTTGAACATACCTACATCAGATAATCCACTTGTAGCGACCTGCAATAACCTGCACCAACAGCTTGCAGCAGCTCACAACAGCCTACAACGACAGGTTGTAACAGCCTACAACGGCTTCATTGAGGCAGCCGCTTGCTGGAGCCTATCACAGTCTGCAACGACAGATTGCGGGAGTGCCACTAGAGGTTGCCACCGTATGAGTGTGGGGGGACCCGTGTCACGGACACAGATCACGAGGCACAATGGGTATTACCTTTCGTGAATGACGGACGTTGAAACGTTACGCATGCAATTTGATGTTAAGCCAGGAAGCGCGGCCCAACACGGCAGGCAGTCTGTCCTGCTGTAATACATACGCGATGAGGTGGACGAACACGTAATGTCGAACGAACGATTTGAAAGATTGTACTCTACGGCGCCGTGTTGTGCAGGCTATAGCAATTGGCGGAACTGATCAATTGGATGAGGTACCTGGAAGAAGCCTGATAGGTAGGACGGTGGGAGCAGTATCCTCCTGGGCCTCCTTCTCCGCTCACTTCGCCACCGCCCCCTTCTTCGCTTACTCCGTGCTCGCCCACTTCCCCGCTCACTTCGTGGTGTTCTCCAGCTTCTTCTTTTGCTGCGCGGCGTGCCTCCTCCTGGGTCTCCTTCTCAGCTCGCTTCGCGGCAGCCTCAAGCTTCTTCTTCTGTTGGGCAGCGTGGTTGGCAGCCTCCTCCTGGGCCTCCTTCTCGGGTCGCTTCCCAGTGGCTTCGAGCTTCTTCTTCTGTTGAGCGGCGTAGTTGGTAGCCTTCTTCAAAGCCGACTTTGCGGCGGGCTTGTACTCCTCATCGTCCTTCTTTTTGACCTGGTACTCTGACACGGCGCCGTGGAGGACGAAGACCTCAAGGATGATCACTGAACATTGTTGTTGAACAGAGCGCGTTTCACAGCAGCAAGCGTTGAAGATGAGGTTGAAAGAGCCTTGTTCTTCTACAGAGGAAAGGAAGGGGTCGTGCACCCCAGATTGATCGGATGGGAGCTCAACCAATCGGATCTAATCGGAGGATCTGATCCGTAGTGCCCCGGGCCTCTTGAATCTCGCTCCTGCCCCACACTTCCGCAGCATGAATGTTAAAAATAGGCAAGTGTAAAACAAGGCTCTTTCAACTACCGTTTTTCATGCTTCAAGGTAACCTCAGGCGCTCTGTACGACAGTAAGGGAACATCCCCAACGTAGTAGAGAGCCGAAGGCATCGGGCCGCAATATCATCAGTAGAGTGAGTTTTGAAGAAAAAATGGAATAGCTCAACAACTCTTAGTTTGGGTTAGCTGTCTCTTATTAGAAGGAATGCAAAGTATGATATTTTATAATTTCCAAGGACCCACAGGGCTCAATACAAACAATCGAGTCTCTTCACAGCTAGTTAGGCAGAGCCGCCGTGCCGAACCTTGAGTAGATGCTTGTTGTTGGGAAAGCTGGGATGATGTCAAAAACTGTGAGTCATTGTGGCGGAGCGTGGAGGAAGATTCAGTGAGAAAGTCACAATGGAGGAGTGTCACACGATCAGTAACGGTTTCAATAGCACAACATATAAGAACACAACAACGACGACGCTGAGGGCCTCGACTCGCCCATCTTCTTCGTTTTTTTCTCCCACTTTCCACACAACACAACACAACACAACACCAAAAGGTGACGCGAATTGAGCTGCGACTACCAAGTGAACCGCGTATTCTTGCCCGCAGACAGACACTCAGGTAAAATCTAGTCCAAGCCTTTCTTTTACATTTGTAATTTTGATAACTGACACGCGTTGAAGGTCCAACTACTTGCTAGCTAGCCAGCAAGTCCAACGCCATGCCTCTCCCCATCGTTCACATCAACGGCTTCCCGGGCATTGGTAAGCTTACCATTACCCGCAAGCTCGTCACCCTACTTGCGCCTTACAACGGCAAACTCGTCCATAACCACCTGCTCATCGACCCAGCCTGTGCCGTCCTGCCACGCTCTAGCTCTGACTACCAGCCCTTACGGCGCGCCATCCGGGACGCCATCTTCAACACCCTGGCAGTTTCCCGTGACACTTTCGACTCCGTCTTCGTCTTCACCGACTTCCAGTCTGACGACGACGTCGGTCGCGCTGTAATGGCCGAGTACCGCGCCATGGCGGCTCGCCGAGGTTGCACCTTTGTCCCCGTCACCCTCACGTGCGGTAAGGAGGAGAACCTACGCCGACTGACCTCCTCTGAGCGGGCTTTGCACGGCAAGCTGACGGATGCGGAGCTGGTGTCGCACATCCGTGACAACGCTGTGATACACCAGTCACCAAGGACCCCTTTCAGGTAGAGCTTGACCTCACGGAACTGGATGCCGACGCCGCGGCGCGCATGATATTGGAGCATGTTTTGAAAGTCTGTGTGGAGCTAAGCTCTTGGCTGGGCGAGAAGGTTGATTGATCAACATCCATACTTGGACCCCCCAAATCCCTGGAGGTATCGCTGGTCAGCTTTCCTCTTATGGCGCTTTTTTTTTTTTTTTTTTCAGATAGTTTTCAGATAGTTTTCAAAGGTGCTTTTGATTGGAGCACCGCACAGACGGCTGTGGGCTCCCTTCAACAACAACACTGCCCGGCTAGCAAAATTCATTTGCATACTTGCTGCGTGGACTAGTTTAGGGACTGGAGGCAATGCATCATTCTAAACCTGTCAGCGCTTCAAAATCACAGAGCTTAAGTCCCTGAAAGGAGCGCAGTGTCTTGGGCGGAAGATGTTGAAATCACGGCCGCGTTCTCATGCGAAAGCAACACCTCATCTAATTCGCCACACGATGGATAACCGTGACCTCGAGCACAATGAAAACAACATAGCCAACCAACATAGCCACGCCAATCCAGCGGCAAAACCTGGCTCCAAACCAGACTGTCAGGGTCAAACCTATCGTCGACCCCCAAAGAGTCACCAGTTCTGGCATCGTCACGTTGCCTCCATCCAAAGCACCCGTAGTGTCAACCATGACAATGCCAACACACAGCGACAGCAGGAAGATGTTGCTGCCGACGCAATTCGCAACGAGAATGCCAGGGTGGCCGCGGTAGCCGCTCATGACAGAGATGAATTTTTCAGGCAGCGTGGTGGCGATGGCGAGGATGACAACGCCGAATAGAACGTCCGAGATGCCAAACTGGTCTGTGATATTTGCCGCTGCTTGGGAGAGGATGTAGCCGGCGAGACAGATGGTGATGAATCCGAATAGTAGGTAGAGGCCATGGTACCCGAGAGTGTGGCGTCTGCGGCGCCGCGACGGAGCAGGTTGAGGTGTGGCTTCTGGGTGGTGGCCTGGCCTAGCGGCTCTCACCTTTGGCACGCGAGGGTTGATGAGCGGGTCTGTCTCTGTAGCCTCGGCTCTGCTCACGGCAATTCTTGCATCAGAACTGCTGTGGCGATCATTGTCAACGTCAGAGTCACTCTCTGCGTCGCTATCGCTATCGCTGTCGCTATCACTGTCGGAATCTTCGGGTGCGGTAAGGACCCCTCGGCCAATGGCCAGGCCTACGAGCAGAAGATAGATTCCAAACGTGGCGATGAGAACAGGGCCACACACCTCCCATATGACACGCGTTGGAAAATAGAGAATTGGTGTGACGAAGGTCGTCAGAACGAGTAGCACGAGCGAATATATCCGCGCGCTCCTGTCAAATTTGGCCGCCCTCCCCGTCTCAAAGGATAGCAGGCCGAGCGAGAAGGCGCCCAAGATGTTGGAGATGGAGGCGCCGATCAGGTTTCCCATGGCTAGGGATGAGCGACCCCGCGCCAGGGACGCGACAACAACTGCCAGCTACGTTGCATCAGTGGCAGTTCGCAATAAAGTAAGCCGAACCCTTACCTCTTCCCACTCCCCGCCGGCTGTGAGGAGCCCAACGACGGTCTCAGGAAGCCCCGTACGACGCGCAACTACGGCCGTGTGATCGATGAATTTATCGGCCCCAACCTCGAGGATGAACAGGGCCGCTAGGAATGTGGCAACATTAAAAACAATCACGTCAGAGTCCGCCATGGTAGAGAATGGTGATGGGTATCAGGATAAGATGAATGAAGATGGCGAAGAAGGCGGTTTGAGGTGAAATATGTCGAATGTCAAACTGAGAACCGCTTTTAAATGTTTCTTCGAGCAGAGCGCGAGTCTTGACCGTCGCGGATGACGTGTTAGATGAGACAGGACTGCTGGGGTTGGCTAGCGGCGGCTGGGGTGGTGCAACTAGGCGGGGGTTTGCGTTTGGTAAAACGCCGGGCCGTTTCAATAGTTGAGTTGCCGTTAACTAACCATATCTATCGTGGGGTATTTGTGTGGAAACAAACCTGATGCACTTCGGGGACGGTTTTCTCTGTTTGCGTGCAGCAGATTCAAACTGAAGACGTACACCTTCTATTAATAGATATCGCTATAAACTCTCAGATTGGGTTTATCATTATATAGAGAATGATGACCTGAAGCAGTCTGCTTAGGTTGTTGAACAGCTGGTGCCCTCACTCGCTGCAGGCAGTCAATCTATTGTCCTTTTCTTCTCGTATCTCTTTACTTCAGCGCTGGCGCTGTTTATTTTATAAAATTTTCCCCAAAAAACGCAGTCCAGGTCGACCAGATGGCCTCTCTCCGGATGCCACCAGCCAAACCCGGCATCTTTCGAACCGCCTTGACTCGACTAGGCCTTTCTTACGACTCCTCTGAGAAATTCCAGGCCTCTATTGAGGCCGAAAGCCTTTCGGACGATGGGTCCATGTGGTCCAACGGACCAAACAGGATCGAAGACGAGAAAGACTTAGTGACAAAGGTGATCCATGCCGACGACGACCCTTCGCTCAATCCATGGACCTTCCGGATGTGGTTCATTGGTGAGTCCACTCCCAAATCGTCGGCGGCGTTTACTGATATTCATTTTTGTAGGTATTGGCCTGGGCATCTTCGGTGCCATTATGGAGACGATCTACTTCTTTCGCCCCGTCACACTGGATGTGTCCAACATCTTCCTCGCCCTCTTGAGCTACATTTTCGGCACCTTCCTGGAGTGGGTTATTCCGAAAACAGGCTTCATCGGACGGTGGTTCAATCCTCACCCGTTCAATATGAAAGAACACGCAGCCATGGTCGTAATCGCCTCGTCGGGGGCCCAGACTGCCCTAGCCGTCGAGGTCATTGCAGTCCAGAGGCTGTTCTATGACAGAGCGCCAAACGTCCTCATCTCCATCCTGCTCGTTGTCTCCTCGCAGTGTGTCGGGTATGGCTTTGCCGGACTACTGCGCCGAGTCTTAGTATATCCCACCAAGATGGTATGGCCCAGCCTCCTGCCGATGAACACCTTGCTGGAGACACTCCATCGCGACCGCAGGGAGACAAGGAACCGCCTCCGCTTCTTTTGGTGGATCCTTATTGCCGCCTTCGTCTGGGAGGTCCTACCTGAATACGTCATGCCGATTCTGACCGGTGTCAGTGTCTTTTGCTTGGCGAAGCAGGATAGTATGGTCTTCACCAACATCTTTGGCGGATCTAATGGCAACGAAGGGCTTGGAGTGTTGTCTCTGGGGTTGGATTGGCAGTTTATCTCCAGTAAGCCGTTGTGGATGCCGCTCGCGACCTTGACAAACAGCCTGGCTGGGTATATCATCTGCATCTTCCTGTTCCTTGGCGTCTACTACGGGAATGTATGGCAAGCTCGAGACTTTCCATTCCTCTCCCAGCTTCTGTTCTCTCAAAATTCGACGAGTTCCAACTACGTCGTGTATAACCAGACGGAAATCCTCAATGACGAGAATGTGCTGCTGCCGTCCGCACTTGAAACCGAGGGCATTCCTTTCTTTGCGGGGACTTATGCCATGTTCCTCTTTACGACCAACCTTGCTGTCACTGCAACCGTTAGTCACCTCTTGCTCTGGAATTGGGATGATCTCAAGACTGGGTACTCGTTCCTCTCGCCCAGTAGCATTCGGCAGCTGCTGTCGCCGCGGTCATGGAACCTGAGATTCTGGCAATCTCGGGTCAACGGCAGCCGAGACATCGATAAGGAAAAAGATCCCCATTACCAACTAATGCTTGCATATCCTGAATGCCCCAGCTGGTGGTACGCCTGTATTCTCATTCTATCCGTCATCATGGGTCTCGTTGCCATATACGCAGCAAAGTCGACTCTTCCCTGGTACGGGTTCTTCACGAGCCTCGGTGTGGCTGGAACCTTTATCCTCTTTTTCGGCGCGCAGGTCGCACTTACGGGATACCAGGGGAACGTGCAGCCGATCGTGCAGATGATTGGGGGTTACCTCCATCCTGGCCAGCCGCTCGCAAACATGTACTTTACCCTCTTTGGGTACAACTCGGTCATTCAGGGCATCAGTATGGTGCAGGACTTGAAGTTTGGGCAGTACGCAAAGCTCCCGCCGAGAGCGACGTTCTGCGCCCAGGTGGTCGGTACTCTTGTTGGCGCTGTCGTTAATTATATCATGATGGTCGAAATCACCACTAACCAGAGAGATATTCTCTTATCCATCCAGGGTACTAATATCTGGTCCGGTCAAAACATTCAGCAGTTCAATTCACAAGTGCGTCACTCACTCCTGCTCCTTATCATGGACTGAAACTAATCGCTCAGGCAATTGCATGGGGAGCTCTAGCGAAGGAAATGTTCTCCCCAGGCTCTCGCTATGGACTCGTACCTATCGGTCTGCTCCTCGGCTTCCTCCCGCCGCTCATCTTCCATACACTTCATCGGGCATATCCGAGAATCGGCTTCTCCAAGGTTAACACGCCCATTATCCTCGCCTACGTAGGAATTCTCAGCGTTGGGATCTCGTCCTCCATGCTTTCGTACTTTGCCATCGGCTTCGCGAGCCAATTCTGGCTCCGTCGATGGAAACCAGACTGGTTCATAAAGTACAACTATGTCTTGGCGGCCGCGCTCGATGGTGGCACGCAGATTCTTGTATTTCTCCTCACATATACCGTTTTGGGTGGCGTTGGCCCAGAAATCAAGTTTCCCAAGTACTGGGGCAACAATGCGGATGGGAATTTTGACTACTGCATGAGAGACCCGGGGGCTGGTTCTGTGGCCGCGGGCCCGATAGATCTGGACGGATAACTGAGCGGCACGAGAGAGGCATTACAAGTCCAGGGAGATACTACGAGGAAAAAAGAACATGTTACTGGTAGGAGCGAGTTGAGAACGAGAACAACCCGGACGGAACGGATTCTCAAGCTTATTATTACTCAACAACAACGAAGAAGCGAGGATATCGCGGCGCGGCGCTGCGTCATTCTGGCAGTATCCAAGCAGATTCATGGAACAGCCTTGTATTGATCTAGATCATCCTTAGCTAAGCATACCGTAGTTCCAGCCTCTTCTAGTGACTTGTTACCCCAGCTTCGAAGGACTCGTATCCGGGAGGTGCTTCCAGTAACTCAAGGCTTGCGAGTTCGTCTACTGTAACACTCTCAGCCCCAGTGCAACTTTGGACGCAAAAAATTACAGTACAACCACTAAAAGTGGCTAGTCGAATCTAACAGAGGCATTGACAGCTGGCAGAGCGGAACGTCCTTACGGCTTTGAAGTTAACTCTAGCATGGATAAGGCTAGTCGATGCTGCGATAGCCTCATTTGCAGTCACCTGAAGCTTCTGCCAGGACCCTTGGCTGTTTTGTTGCCTTCTGACCAGTTCCGAGATTATAGCTCTTTGATTGTTGCCTCGTTAAGAAGTTCCACCTTTCCTCTACGGCGACTATGTAGTGAGAGCACCGTATTCGAGACGCCCTGAGCGACTAGCCGCTCTTTTGGCGGCAATGCTACCTCGGTTAGGACTAGTTGTTTGATGTCCCAAATGTTTCGTGGGGTCAAACAACAGTGCGACGAGTACTACCCCTTTGTTAGCCCGACTAAGCTGTTGGGTAGTCTGAGCGCCATTGTTTTGTCACTTGACTAGCTCAAGCGACACGTTTTAGAATTAGTTGACGTGGTAAAAGGCTTATGCTAGCGCAGCTAGAAAAGGAAAAGGAAAAAGTCAGGGGCTCTGACATTCAAGCACTCTTTCAGCAAGGAGGCTCATGATACACTATCTCAAACGTCAGGAGGATGACGGAAGGCTCATGCCTCGACGACAATTAGTAGCTCTTACTGTCTATCCTCTGACTACAGTTGACTTGAGGTATTTTTAGACGTCATGTCGTTTCAAGCCTTAAAATAGCTCAAACATCACCGACAAGGCCGGGGCCTTTCTAGTAATATGATTTAGGCTGGCTACTATTGGCCAGTTTGGATTTTCGAACGGTGCCATGTCCCGAGGGCTGTTAACTTTCATACATGTTGGGTTGAGTATAAAGGATGTAGTTTCTCTCGAGTTGGGACCCTCGATATCACAATCAACTCAGATCAATCAACAGTCCGAGTCTTCTCAACACTCCCCCATATTCTTCTCCCAATGCATCCCACATTATTTCTCGCTGGACTGGCTGCAGCCATTCCTGTTACCTTGGCGGAAGAGCTCCGTGCAGACGATGTACCATCAGCATGCACAACTATCTGCCAGCCCATTGTCGATCTTACCAATACATGCGATATCGACCCCAACGAGACCGACAACGATAATGACAAAAAAAGGAAGTTGCGCCTCCGCGAAAGCGGCGAGTCTGATGAAGAGGCTATCGAAGCAAACTGTATTTGTACAAATACCAGCTTCGACGTTGCTGCCGTAATGGCGCTCTGCGCGAGCTGCATGTCCCAAAACAGCCAGTCAACAGAAGGTATTAACTCCTAAAGTAGCACGTTCGAGTATGGCTACGTATAGCTAGCTAACAGGCAAGCAATAGATGTCGATAAGATCATGTCGCAATGCTCTTTCACGTCCACTTCGTACGTGGCCTCGGCTACGGCCATAGTCTCAGGCATTCAGGTCGAGGCAACAAAGCCAGTCACGGCTGGGGCTTCTAAATCTACTTCCACGAGTGGTGCGTCATCGTCCACCGACTCCGCTACTGGTGGCGCTGGGAAGATGGCTGTGTCCATTCTGGCTGCTGCAGGGGCCGGGTTAATATTCATGTTGCGATTGTAAAGAAGCCGACTACCTATTAGTTGCCTCGTACTGTACCAAGGCTTTCGGGGCTCCACGAGCAGTGAATATCTATGTCTCGGGTGGAGAGGTCGCGATCTTCAAGCGGCTTAGGCCCCGAAGTTGCTTGCTCCCGAAAGCCTGTAGCTGGTGTACCAGATTGTGGGGCTGCTGGAGTCGGAAACGGAGGCGAAATTTCTGGTCCTGAATCCGTGTCCATGTTATCCCATTTTTCGAGTAATCAATAGTCATGGAAAATCACTCAATGCTACCTCTTGAGGAAGATTCAGACTGAATAAATTGGATGCCAAAGGTAGAGAATAAAGAAATAAGGCACGAAGCAGTGTTAAAACTACGGATACAGAGTACAATGCTGTCGAATGCGGGGTCGGAGTAGTAAGCCAGAGCCTGTGCGCGCAAAAAGGAAAAAAAGAAAAAAAACTGGCCACGCACAGATGCCACCAGCCCTTGTAAGCGCCTTACTTCTAGTCGCTGATATGTACAGAGTTCCGCCCACAAGGACTACTCAAGCCCTCTGTAGGGATGGGACCCTATGCTTTAGAAAGCGGTGTCCTTGATCTCGAAGACGTCATCGGACGTTCCAGAGATTGCATCTCCATGTCGACTGTAACGATGATCTTCCGACTTGATGAAGCATCATCCAACTGTTCCCAGTCTCTATCTGATTTGACGTTGGGTATAATGCTCTTGTGCCGCCGTCCTGTGGATACTCCAACCTTGCTCGTCACAGTTGACTTTCCTGCCCCTGTAAAGGGTGTGACATTAGACGATGAGTGTCCATGGGATGAGTCAAAGTTGACCCAGTTCTTCAGAAGTCGCCGTAACGAGGGCAGCGAGCCTGCAATGATACCAGTTCCTGACTCAAAGACAGACCATAGCGCAATATTCCCAACATTGTCTGTGTATTCCAGGTCAGCTGAGTTATCCTAGCCCAAGATGGAGAACTTACATGGATAGTCTTTAGGGTCAGCATAGAACTTGATATAAGGAAGTCTCACGATAGTGGCAATGGACGCCCTATTTTCAGCATTAAGTTAGTAAATCTTCAATAAGCTAGTCCAGGACGAACGGGCTTACAGGACACCTAATCCCAGGCTAATGCTGATAGAAACCTTCGTCGCCATTTTCATCTGAGCTTTGTAGAGCATAAAGCCAGGCAAGATTGCGCATATCCAGTCTGTAGCCACGGCCGCAGCGGATACGAGATAACTAAGACTTGTGATGACGATGGGAGGAGAACATGTTCCTGCAGATTTATCCCAATTTGCCTGTACAGGACGGCACATGGCAAAAAGTCCAATAATGACGATGAGGGTAGAAATGCACGAGGCCGTGAGCGTAACCCATGTAATAATACCATGGGTTTTGACAACTGCGATTCGAAGGAGTGTGACGCAGATCGATGCTTTAATGAAGATTAAAGAAGAGCAGTAGAATGTCTGGAATAGCCAAATGTGCTATTCGCTCTGGGTGTGAGCTAAGAACCGCTGTCGGGAGGGCAGTTGAGGCTTACCACTTTACTCTTTTACACGAGGTATTCATTCAGTCGCTCATCCTTGGCACCGAGCCCGTAATAGCATCCCTTAGATATGACACCAACAACAACCATGAACAGCATCTATGCGCTCTCAATAAGCTTGCTTTCTTCAGACAAAAGGGAAAAAGAGGCCGCAACTTACCCACCCAACTAGCATGAGGACATCATTCCCACTGAAGACATCATGTTTAAGTCGAATTCCACATCTCAGGGCGACAACTATCGTGGATGGAGGGGTCAGAAAGAGAGTAACGACGAGGAGGACAAGCCCAAGGCCCTGTGGGTTAATGGACGTGACATCTGGGCTCACTGCCATGGTGGATATGTCTCGATCGGTCCGTAAAAGTTTAGATGTTACCTAGATGTCGCGTTGCACATTGAACAATGGGCTCCCTTTTATTCCGCTTTCCCCCGTCGGATAAACCTTCGGTCTCTTCCTCGTTCATGGGTCGGCAGATTGGGATCCCCTTAGCGCAAGGCACGGAGTGTCTTCCCCGCGATAAAACTCTCTTCCCCGGTCGAAGACTATCGTTAGTTTCTTTAGCCTCCAAATAGCGGACATCAGCCCTAGGTATTGCAGATAATCACATCTAACTTTGGCCCGCAGTTCGTCGAGATGAGGCGGCAATTCGTCGCAACTGACTCGTGCACCAACTTTGGTAGAGGATTCGCCCCCAACATCCTTCACGGCCTTCACATGCAGAAATAGGAACACGAACTCATGGTGGCAAGGGTTCGGTAGCCCTAGGCCATAAAAGGCTGCTCATTAGATTAATATGAAGGATTTGGACGAGTTTAGTCAAGTCGTCGGCTCCTTGGCGATGATGATCCCATGTCCGAAACCTTTCGGCAGCGTGTTTAAGGCTGAGTTGACGAATGTTTCAGCCATAGCTCTCAAGAGTCTTTTTCCACCACGAGTCATTGTTTTTGGTCCTGAGCTTTGTCATTGTCGTGCGTGTTCTCTTATGCCATGTGGCAGTCGCCATGAAACCCCTATCTCGTGCATACGGTGCATTGGAAGCCGAGGTTTGATATGCCGCTCGGAACCAAGCCGCCACGATCCGATGCTTTAGTGCTTTAGTGACGATCGGGACTCGGACGCTAGCAATTTTCGGTGCGAGACGAGATACAGGCCCTGTCACCCACGACGTTGATCGCAGAGGTCAAAGCGACAAGGGTGGCTTACTAAGCCAGAATGGTTCGCTGACCTGACGATTGAGCCCTCTCACGTTTCGTGGCTGTTGACATCCATCATGCGTGCCCAATCTTGGCAAGCCTTGGGCTCTCTTATTCTACTTTTTCAATGACGTACTCGTCAGACACGAGATCAAAGAATACCGGGCTCTCCTATGACTTCTCGAGAATCGGCTCTTCCAAACGCAGTTCCTACCCCTCTTGTTCCAGGAGACGGTGGTGGTTATCGTGATGGTCATCACGAATCTCGCCGGTCTCATAATTCGCTTTCCTCTTCACTCAATCGAGGTTGTCGACCTCCGTCCAGTGCAAGGGCTCATTATCCACGCCCCTGATGTCGAACCCATCGGGATTATATTGTCAGGCAATGTCTTGTAGAACACCACAATGGCCAGGTTTCCCCATAGCTTGCTGTTAGACTACCTTCCGTCCAACAACATCATTTAGGTCTATAAGCAGAGCGAATGGAACTCTACTTAGTCTGGGATGACGAACCAAAAGACAATCAACATCACCCTGAGCTCGTATAACTGATCCTGCCAGATCAGATTTTGCACTTTTACCAGGCCTCCATAGTTTCATGGTCTGCACAGAATGCGCTACCCATACAGCGAAAGCTCAGTGTTGACCTCGCGGCCACGCAGCTAGGGACATTACTTCTCGTCGGCATCATCTTTATTGCCATCTGTGTTATCCCCACTCTCGTGCGTTACCCACTTTTCTAGCGTCATCACTGCGCCGACCTTGAGGTCTCCCAGGTCCCTGACGCCAAGCTTGACTGGATATTGCATGCTTTTAAGAACTCGCAGCATATCAGCGAGATTGACTTGGCCTTTCATGACCGCGGCCTCTTCAAAACAGCAGCTTATGAGACAATCGAGGCTCTAGGCCCTACCGTTCGAGGGTTGGCACGGACGTGTTCGATTCGACCCCCTGGTGAGAAACTAGCGAACGGTAGCCAGCCTCAAGGCGACGAGCCGTGGGTTTTACTGGTTTCGTGAGGGCCAGGTGTCTCAGAGGCTTATAGTAATCAAGCTATAGAAGATCAGGTAGTTGATCCTACCACTTGTTTCAAGGATGATGCTACACGTGTTGAAAGGGATGAGGTGGCCGATGAACGCCAAGCAAAGAGAACAGTGAAGACAGAGAGCCTAACGTGACACTACCGAAACTCTCTTGTCAAATCTTCAAACATAAATGTCACAACCTTCTAATTCCTCCATACCAAGACACATGACTTGGCTCGTCTTAGCCGGGGCACCTGTCATCCTTTTAACCGATAGATGGTTGTTTATAATAGGAAACCAAAATATGCAGGCCTTAATTTCGAAGCCTTATTGTTAAGATAGAACTTGTTCATTTAAAATCTCAATTACCTACTTGTTAAGCTTGAATGATATTAATAGTGCTCCTTTACGCCGACAGCCTCAACCAGTGCTTCAGATCTTATTCTGGGCGAATCCGAGGACCTTCTTTTCGCTCTTATCGCCCTTCATATTAATTGCCCCTTGGTTGCTTCAAATTTGAACCAGGCTTCAGATTCACCTTGCCTCAGCACACTGGCCCCTGGTGGGTTGCTTCTGCTCTGTTGAGCCATGCAGGGCCCACACGGTGAGGAGGCTTGGTATGCTCGTCATAATCGCACTCTCGAAGTTGTTTCGGGCGATTGAACAGTTTGATGTCGTTGACTAAAGGGTATCTAACTGTTGGAGAGGTTCTCTCTGTCCAAAGCGAATGGTAGGCATCATTGCTTCAAAGGCTGGCATGTTCTGTGGAGTCACCAAAATCGCTCGCTCGCATGGCCTCCGGGCTAGTTTTCTTAGATTTTGTCATTTGCAGTCTCGAGGCATGATACCAGTGAGTGTACAAAGTTGGGATGAGCAATGCCAGGGGTCATATATGCAGTCGTGCGGCAGAATCCGATGAATTTGTGAAACATTTCACAGGGTACCCCACAATGGCGTCGCCGACAGGGCTTTCATCAAGGCATTTTGTCGGGATCCAATGAGACAGGGGTATTGGATATTGGATTGCTGGTTTTATGCATATGACGGATGAACTCAAAACGACGACGAGAGGTTCTTGCTAGGTATTCATGGATGTGTCACCTATAGGCGCAAGTTATTGTATTTTGTGGAACTTGGGGGCTACTAGTATGCTATTGGAATATCCGAGGGATGAACCAACAGATTGAAGGTCGGGTGGATAATGTTTTTCTTGCTATTAGAGGACTACTGCATTTGCATTGAGGACGTTATTGAGGCCGCTCGGTGAGGTTTGTCTTGGCCAATTGTGTCGTGAAACAGCCGGCCTGATTGTGCCAACGCATTGCTTGTAGCAACTAATGCATACGTACGTCGTTCTTTAATTTTACAGACATGCATTTGGTATCCGTACTTGTGCTCAACTTATCGATAAGACTATCATGGGTACAGGGAATCGCCATTGACCGGGGGAGGTAGCCGAGGGACACAGCTAGCCTCCCAATTGGCCTCTCAAGATTTATTCGAGAGGCTGGTTTCATGCATCATGTCGCTTCGCTGGCAAGGCGAACAACTCTTGACAGTGCACCTGTCACTAAAGCAGGCTGGGGGCATGGGGCGAAAATCCCTTGTCAGCCGATGCGCGGTAATTCGCTGATAATCCTGGTCCCCTGGCTTGAGTGACCCCTCACCTGGACCATTCCTGTTTTCATCGAATCGACATTTTGCCCAACCTCCAACAACCCCGACTCTCCCTCACAACATGGAGGGAGTCGGCGCTGTCGCAAACGTCGTCGTCAACCTGTCTGTTAAAGTCGCCACGCTCTGCTCTCAGTATGCCGAAGACGCCAGGAGCGCCAGGAGCGACATCGAGGAGCTGCGCGACGAGGTGACGACGCTAAGAAGAGCCGCCAAATCAGCACGCCGCCTGATCAAGGATCAACATGGCGCCAGCTTGGAGGCCTCTCGAGACATGGAGGACGCCCTTCGGGAAAGCCTCAATGTGCTGCGAAAATTGGTGGAGAGCCTTCAGTATAGCACTGGTCGCAGGTTTATGAGGCTGTTTCGCATCAGGGTGTTGAGATGGCCATTGAAGAGGAGGGACGTTAATCAGAAGATTAAACGGATTAGGAGATGCACGAAAAGGATCAATTTGGCTCTTCAGGTCTATCAAACGTACGTCGACTAACATGCACCATTCATCAGTTGAGCTAACATATTATGATCAAGGGCCATAATTGGCGTCGAAGCCAAGGTTGTCAGAGTTGATGAGACCATGGTCTCTATGGAACAGCGCATGCTCATGCACATGTTGCCTACTGCACTGGGTGCACTGTACGACTCACGCGAAGAAGAAGATGGCGCTACTTGTTTGACGGGTACCCGAGTTGAGTTACTTCGAGACATAGATGATTGGGTCAACAGTCGGAAAGCTCCCACCGTCTTTTGGCTCAACGGAATGGCCGGCACCGGAAAGTCGACAATATCCCGGACTTTTGCAGCAACTGCAGCTATGCATCGATATCTAGGTGCTACATTCTTTTTCAAGAGAGGCGAGATCGACAGAGGGAACATGTCCAGGTTCTACACAACCATCGCCTACCAACTTGTTCGCTCCATGCCTGACCTCGTCCCGCACATCAGAGCAGCTATCGACGGAACACATTCCGTCACAGAAATGTCCGCCGATAAGCAGTTTGAAAAACTCATCTTGCAACCTTTGATGCGTGTCCGAAATAGGAATAGGACAACTCTTGCGATCGTCGTGGACGGCCTGGATGAGTGTGATGGGCATGACGACGTGCGGCGCCTGATTACTCTCTTATCTGACTTTAAAGATGTCAAAAATTTCCGCATCAGAGTTCTCATTACGAGCCGAACAGAACTACCGATTCGACTAGGTAATCACGACGGTCGGGACCATCACAGGAATTTCGTGCTTCACGAGATATCAGAAACTGTTGTCGAACACGACGTTGAGATTTTCCTAAAGTTCAGGCTCGATCAAATCAGGAGGAACTACAACCGCTCAGTCTCAAGGGACAGACATCTACCAAAGGACTGGCCTGGGCCAAGAGATACGGCAACACTCGTCCGGATGGCTGGCCCGCTCTTCATCTTTGCCACCACAGTCTGTCGATTCCTCTCGGACAGGAGATGTGGCAATCCCAGAGAACAGCTACGAAAAGTATTGAAGTACAGGACGAGGAGTCAAGAAGCCAAAATGGAAGCGACTTATCTCCCACCACTGGAGCAACAGTTGGCGGGACTCTCCAACAGTGGAAAGGGACAAGTCCTGGATGATTTCCGAACCGTTGTTGGGACCATTGTTCTTCTCGAAACGCCGCTCTCAGCACCCGCTTTGGCCCACCTCCTTGATGTCCGAGAAGACACAGTTCATGCGAGATTGGACGTGCTCCATTCCGTGCTGAACGTACCACAATCTCCAGACTCCCCCATCCGGTTACTCCACCTATCCTTTCGAGATTTCCTAACTGACCCTGAGAGAAAAGGAACCGATGAGTTCTGGGTGGATGAAAAGTACTGGAACGGCCATATTACCTCATGCTGCCTTCGCATCATGAACGATGCCCTGGAAGAAGACATTTGCGGCCAGGTTCACCCAGGTGCTGATCGCTCAAGCTTACGACGGGGACAAGTGGATTCGTCTATCCCACCGGAATTGAAATATGCTTGCCGTTTCTGGGCTCATCACATGCAGAATGCGGAGAGGAGCTTCTACCGCGACCAAGAGATCTACAACTTTCTGTCCAGCCATTTTCTTCATTGGATAGAGGTCCTTAGCCTCATTGAAAGGCCTGCCGAGAGCTATCACATTTCGAAAAGCCTCCAAGTATTTCTACATGTAAGAAGGAACTGCAATGCTCTGTTTTAACTTCATGCTAACGGACACTTAGAATACACCCTGTTCCGAGCTTGGCCAGCTCTTGAAAGAAGCCCCCAGCTTTATCCAGAGGAACTTGGCCATCATCGAATCACACCCACTCCAGTTATACTCTTCCCTTCTCAGCATCACCCCAGAGAACAGTGTGATGCGGAGACTCTTCTGGGGCGAAGGTCCTTCATGGGTATCCCTTGTTCCAGCCCCCGACTCTCACTGGGGCCAAGTCCAATACACCTTGGAAGGCCACAAGGGAACCGTCAACGCTGTTGCTTTCTCTCCGGACTCTTCTCTCCTGGCTTCAGCCTCATCAGATCACAATGTCAGGATCTGGCGTGTGGAAACAGGTGAATGCATCCGAGAATTTCAGAGACATAAACGCCCTGTAAGGGACGTCAAGTTCTCACCCGACTCGGCGCTCATAGCATCCAAATGCGACGAGTCTATCCGGATCTGGAAAAGCGATACGGGTATACAACTCGAGAATCTAGCCATTCATGGGAATCACAGAGAATGCCCAGTTGAGTTTTCACCAGACTCTAAACTTGTGGCGTGGATTGGTGAAAGAGGTGACTTGCGGATTATGCAGCTGGATACCCTCCAGTGCATATGGCAGTTCAGACAAGGCGGCTTCACAGATCCCAGGAAACGACTTCAAACTACCCCCTACTCGTTGCGTTTCTCATCAGACTCGAAAGTCATCGCGGTAGTAGTGGAAGAAACGGGCTTCTTCTCCCTGTGGAGTGTCGAGAGTGGCTATCGCATACGGAAACACGAACAAACAGGGAATCTCTCCCTCGACGTACCTCACAACAGTCCACGCCGGGACGTGTCGTACTGCTTTGTTGAGGACACGAGTCAATCGACCGCCATGAATACAGGGTCGACATTCATGATGGCAGGCAACGAGCACCTTCATTCCGAGTCCGACGACACAGTCCTTGTCCGCTGGGTTGAGACGGGCGAAGTCGTGCAGAGCATCACGACCCCTTACAGTGGCAGGAGCCGCGCCACTTTGACACAGTTTTCTCCAGACGGCGCAATTCTGGGGTCAATACATGAAGACAAAACCGTCAAGATCTGGGAAATCGCGACGGGCAATTGTCTGCACATTCTCAGCGGTTTCGCAAGCGAAGTAAAGGCCATGTCCTTCTCTCCAGACATGCGTCTAGTCGCTTCAGGGTCTGCCGACAAGATGGTGCACATCTGCTCCATCAGCTCTGGAAGCAATCTCCCTCTATCAGACGAAAGCAGACACCCCATTCAAGCCATGGTGCTATCTCCAGACGGTTCCGTCGTTGCATCCTTCTCCGCAAACAGAGAGCTGGCCCTGTGGAGGATAGATACCGGTGTTTGCATGCATCGTCTCGAATGTCCCCACAGGATGGAGCATTCAGAAGGACCCTCTTCGAAACCCCCATTCGCTTTCTTGAGTCGTTTACTCTTTTGCGCGTGGTCGCGATCGACTCTATACATATATCGCGTAGACACGGGCCAGCGTGTCTCCGAGGTTGACAAACACCATGGATCTGAGGTTGCGTTTTCCCCTGACGGGAGCCGCATCGCTTTTAGGCCCAGCGAAGACACCATTTACACCATGATGCCAGACTCTGGGGAGTACGGTCATCAACTCACGGGTGGGAGAAGGCTTTCAGACCCTAGATTCTCACCCGACTCTACATATGTTGTGGCTCTATCCCACACCACCAAGCATTCTCACGTGTATGTTTGGTCTGTCGAAGACGGCGTCTGTCTTCATAGACTTCGTACGCGGCTTCCACCCAGCGCCACCAAGGCTCACATCAGCGGGATTTCTCCAGACGGGAGATGGATCGCGGTGCAGTGGGCGATTGACGAAGAACGGGCTGCACGGGGTGTACGCGCATACAAGCGAGTGTATTCCCTGGAAGTCATATCTGTCGCCCTTGGTGATGTTGCTGTGAGGTTCACCGCGCCGTCCTCAAGGCCTCCCGTGGATTGCAGCTTCTCAAGTGGTTCTCAGCATGTGGCCTGGGTTTGCGGTTCCAGCATGAGAGTGTGGGATACTGCAACTGGGGCACTTATTAATCACGTCAACCTCGGCTTCTCTCCAACCCGCATTGATTTTGACATCGGCAGAGACTATCCCTTCACCAACTTTGGTCGAATCTCCATCAATGCCCCTCAACCAGAAAATGACAATGGCACAGGGATTGCCCCCGGGAGGTTGGGATACGGAGTCAATCCCGACATGTCATGGCTCATGTGGAACGACATGGAATTCTTCTGGTTGCCGCCGAGATTCCGACCCCACGAGGGCTGCGCCATCGAGATATCAGGCTCGACGATTATTATCGGTTCAGAAACAGGAGTGTTACTTTTTTTCAGATTTACATTGGAGGAGACGCTTTCCAGGCATCGCATAGTAACGATTGTGGAATAGTTGGAGAATTCGCAACAGTTGGGTATATAGCGATGGGAATGATTTTCATAAAGGTAAAGACATATTATAGTACAGGGCGCAGGAAACGCCACGACTTATGAGAAATGAAAGATACCACATCTAGTAATCATTTGACAAAATTTATCAAAATTCATACGGTTTATACACAGCAATTACGCTCGACTTGTGAGGTGTAGTTTCATCCTTTCTACCAACAAAGAGCTGTTGATGGTAGGAAGTCGGAACAATCAAGTCTCAATTTCAAAGGCTTGTTGCTTAGATAGGCCCAGTCCTTTGAAAAGCCTGGCTATATGCTCATCTAATCAAACTAGGTAAGCTTAAGAATGGATGTTAACAATGTTATCCGGCACGCCGAGGACAGTCTCAACCAGTGTCCCAGGGGTCTCGCTCCTGGTGAACCTGACCACCTGCTTCTCGTTCCTATCGCCCCAATCATTCGTTCCTCCGTTTGCTTCCAGCCTAAACCAATCCTCGGATCCTCCTTGACCAAAGTCAGAGCCAGTCGCAGTGACGCTGACGAAAATGTCGGTCGAGGTGTTGTTGATGACTGTGATTACGCCCATGGTGTCCATTTGAGACGTTAGCGTGTTATCCGTCGTTGATATGTTACAGTCAACTCACAGATTTGCGGTGATCGCTGATGAGAGGCGTGTAAAGAATGATGTGACTTGAGGCTTGATAACCTTGATAACTACTGTAGGTAAGTACCGATTTCAGTCCGCGATAAGGCTCCAAGAAAGCTGAGAGACTAGGTTTGGAAAGTTTTCTTGTCGAGTTTATATAGTCGTTTCTAGGTAAGGGATTTCTAGATAGAGAGACCCGCCTTGCTGAATCTCAGCGTCATAGCAACTCAATACCTCCGATGGTAGGGTATCACGACCATCCCGAGAACACTCATGACTCTGAGTTTCGGGGCAATATTGTGAAGATCATGAGACCCCCTTCGGGTTCCTCATTCATGTACGCGCAGATATTGGACAAGACTATCTTCGTATTATCGGCCATCTTCCGATAGCTTGTGTAACCTCGGAATGCACTTTATCTGCATGCAGCTCAACTTAAATCCAACATACTTTGGGGGGCGATGGATGCTGTTTCACGCCAATCAAACTGCGGTGTGAAGATGCAGGTTAGACGAGAACAGGGAACGTCTATCAACATTTACCTCGAAGGAGAAAGAATGGGGGCTCACTACAATATCCCAACTGACTCGTTTGGTAAAAACCACAGAAGTCAGCTGCAGAGCAGCAACGAGCTCATCGTAAAGCACAAGGACGGGAAGTACTGCTATCCCGATACCAATATTAACGTGGCGCCCCATCTCCCGATGTGCCGGAAGATAATTTCAAGACATTCATCAAGCATTGGGCTCCCCACCCGAGGCAATACTGATAATGATGCCTGGAGAGGATGTCTCGGCCAAGAATATCATCAGGATCCTATTGGTTCTTCATCCCGTTTCTCTCCACCTCGCTCGAGATCAGTGTTCTCTCCGACTACTATAACTACCATTCGTTTCTATAATCAGGAATCTCAGCAACGCAACCAGAAAACTTCCACAGTGAGCTTATTAGCACTGGTCTGCCAGCAACAACGCTTTGGGGCAAGCTCATTAGACAGAGACACTACCCTGACGATGCTGGCTACCCTTCGCCATGGGCTTTTCAAAGATGCGGCAAAGGCATGGACTCTATGTTTAGAACATATTTCTATTCTTAGAAATCAATCTCAGTTCCATAACGCGTTTGCCGAGCAAAATACCGATTCTAGCCTCCACCTGCCAGGGATGGAAACGTTATTAAGCGCCGCACGCAACACGCCCTTGTTTTATCTCCACTTGACGCACAAAGGCATGGCATACAGGGAACAATCGTAATCCCGGTGCCTACGAGGTACATTTGAAGATCCGGTTGGTAGCTGAACATGGATAACGTTGCCGGGACCCGCTTGTTGCTTGAACTCTCTACTCATCAACCAATAAAATGCCAAGGTGCCAGTGCCATCCACGTTGTTGGCTCACTCTAGAGTCGTGATTGGTTACCAAGAGGACTCGGGCGAAGCTCGCAGTCGTTCTGACCTGAAACCTGACCGGGTGGTTCCCGCTCGCGGTAGCCGCGCGGCTGCGGGAACCTCCCCTCCCCCCAAGAAGATCAGTTGATGTGCTTCTAGTTCATGCATGCTAGTGCCATTGACCTGCAGGCCCCCATCTCAAGTTGCATGATGCAAACAGCGCAGAGTCCTTCAATCCTGCAGCGCTTCGCTAATCAGTCCATCCGTTTTCTTTACGTGAAACAAAGTCAATGCATGTTGGGCCCACGGCTCCTAACTTGGGGGCCAAGGGTTATGGCTTGTCGTGGCCAGTGATGGTCTCCTCGTGTTCGCATAATCGCGCCTCGTAATGGTCTAACATCCATCTCACCTAAGCGCCCTATCCTGAAGCCTAACGCCTCCTTCGCGGGACGCACGCGAAGAAACTGGTAAGAGATCAGTGGTATTGGTTGTTTTTAAACAACAGTCATCCGAGAGATTCGTTCACTGAACCACCACTCTTAGTACTCTCATCATCCTCAATAATACTTCCCAAAAACCTTCAAGTCTCTATCATCCCAGCAACAGTCCCAAAATGGCCCCGAAAAGCACAAAAGAGATAGTCAAGTATTTCAATGACTCTTTAGAAAAGGTTCCCAGTTACGAATTTCCAATGAAATCACTACAGTTGGCGCAAACGGCAAAGGTAAGGTCACCCAAATGCCAATATCATCACCGTCACGTTAATATCCGGAAAACACAGTCTCAGCTCCCCGGGGACCGGTATAACGAATACTTTGAGGCAGCCTGTAGGGCTGCCTGGTCTTTGCCACACGAGAGGGGACTGTTTTTTTGGGCTCCAGAGGCTGAGGAGATATACGTCCAGGTGGCGAGGGCATTCAGTCATTGGCCGGAACCTGTGGGTATCTTTAGAGAACTTGCCCACGCTTTGATGCAACTTCATCTGATCCAGAATGGCCAGTGAAGAAATGTGTCTAAGAATGGGGAAGCCAGGGAGGGGCAAGGAGATAATGTTATGGGATTATGGGTAATTAGTATCTAGCAACTGCTTTTTCTCTTCAACTTCTAGGGCGTCACAAAGCTTCGTTTACCCTTCACAGCCCGCCTCGTGACTTTATTTCCAAGCCAGGCGTCGTGATTACTCTCCGTTGCTTCATTGATGGAATATCTTTAATTTCCGTAGCTCATATGGCCCATTCATCGTACCCGGATAAATCCACAGTTTGTTTTATCAGAGCCCCAGGCCCAGTGAAGATGTATCACCAACGGTCTGATACTCGTCATCACGCGGCAATTGATCAATGGAAGCATCTAGAATTCCACATCCGGTCTCATCAATTTAGGTAGTCACCACACGAGTCAGTTTCACTTTTGAGTAGGAGTAGTGAGAAAAATATTGTCCTTCCTCAGGTTACGAGACATTCATCAACAAAACACAAGCTACCTCTACACACCTTCAATAATCCGATACGCAGCCAAAGAACCTATACCAATTTGATCTCCCTCCGAGCAGGCTGATTTGGAAAACTGTCCTTGTCCAATTTCTCCACATGCAAGCATCCCACCCTTTGATAATGCCCAGAGCTTGGATCGCGTCCCAGAATCAACCCATTCATCCAAATATCCCTCACTCCACTTAACCACAAAACCCAAGCTGTTGCCTCGAATGTGGACGGATCCTGGAGATACTTCACTTGCACACTTTCAGTTGCTCTCGCAACGTTGCCGTTTTCCACTGCCAGATGGCAGTCCTCGGTGACTGTGAACTCGGCTTTGCTCAAATCTCCAGCCTCTGGGCCGAACGAAACGGTGTGTATGAAGACTTCGGGGACTTTGGGTTGCGGAACCGCGCAGGTGACCTTGACCTCAAACAGGGGCGCCTCCATCAAGATGTGTCCCCCACTTACCCGCCCAAATGGTGCTACTTCAGACGTTTTGCAGAAGGCTTCCAGTATTTTGGGCTGATATTCTGGCTCAAGTTCCACATGGAATTCCTCCGTGCGATGAGCGAGCCCAATGCCTGGAGGTAGCGATGCCCACGACCATGTGGGCGCAATGCTCTCTTCCAATGCCAGACTACAAATTTCCCCTTCTCGAGTCCAGCATAGGCTATGCGGCAGGTAAGCTTCCCAAATTCCCGCCAGGTATCTTCCCTCAAAGCTTGGTGCAAAGTATTCTGCTATTCCGCCGATGGCAGGGAGTCGATCGCTTGCAAAGGTGCACTTTCGGTACGTGTACTGCTTTACAAGTGATCCCCAGAGTTTCCAGGCCGCTTGTGTGCGATTTTCGTCTGTTATCGGCGCGTTGTATAGTTCATGTAAAGCTTTCTGGGCATTCCATTCTGATATCCCTGTTCCCAATACTCGGTGTGCGTCTTCGCATGCAGACTGGCCCTGGCAATGCCATATCACAGTGGAAGGCGTGAAGTGTGCGATTCGACTTGATAGAACCGATTCCTGGAGCGTCCAGGCGCGATGCGGCAGCAGAGAGCTTCCGGCAGAGAAGTAGTTGTCGTTCCCCCCATACAAATACAACTCGTTCATGTGGTGTTCCCTCACGATGTAGTTGCATGGGCGACCAGTTCGGTCATGTGTCAGGTAAACCATTCGTTGCCACCGATCATCGCTTTCTCGGAGAAACGGAACAGAACCATCTGGCGATGTTTCCACAGCAATAGTAAGATGTGCCCCGGAGTAGTATCGTGCCATCTTTGTCGATTCAATCTCCCAGTCCCGCTCGTCATCTTGAATAATGCATAGCGAGTCAATCCAGACGTACTCGATCCCAAGTTGTCGACTAAGCCAGATGGCGTCTTGGAAGACGGCTGATAGGTCATTCCAGAGAATGCAGTCCTTGTGTTGAAGGACCGTTTGCTTGGTGGTCTTGATAGGGAGTTTTTCGCGGGGTCCCCAACAATGGCTCAGAGCAACATAAGTGCCTCTTTCACCAGGTTGGGGCTCGTATAGCCTCAAGGACTCGTCATCCATGATCTGTACCAGCCGGGCCGGTAACTCTGGGTTTTGTTGAAAGCAAAACTGGTGTTCACCGTCTCCTAGTTCGCAAGTATGGAGCGCATCTTTGAGAAATTGGAGGCTCTCCTGTGATTTAGGGCTCCAGCGCAGACTGGTGAGAGTTTCTGCTTCAGCAGTTGCGGGGACCTCGGACTATGGACCAGGTATTAGAAACGCGCGCTTACAGATCGGACTGGTACTTACCTGAACGGCAGGACAGATTCTAACACTCCTATCGAATGAATCATGGTGAAGCCTTGCCCCTGACTTTGTCTTCCCAAGCCAGGTGCATCGCACTGTAACGATGTCGCCCTCTTCTAGGCTAAGCCACATGCTCTTGTTCTGGCCCTGCTGGCTATCATCGATGAATTCCACATCAGGGTAGTCTGCTTCCAGGGAAGACTCCAGCCTATGGAAGGTGGCTTTGAGCAAACGACACCGATGGCAGTTTTCGTTCAAGGTTTCGACATCAACGTGGTATACCTTAAGCCACTGCTCAAACAGCGATGCCTCTGGGTTTGAGTCGACGGGTATGAAGTCGCGGCACATTCCGCACCATGGCGGCTGAAGCTCGACAGTTGGCGGGGCGGTTTCTTCGTCCATGACGGCAAGGTTACTGTGGCAAAGCAATAGGTAAAATCAAAAGACGATAGAATACAGAACTTCATTCCAAGGCTTGAAACTAGAAAGGAATTGGGATCATTTTGGGGTCGCCTCCTGGCCCCATCTTGGAACCGCGCGGTTCCTCCCACGATTCAATAGGCCAGGAATTGCCGCGACTATTTCTGGATTGCGGTCGCTTGCCGCCCGGAATCAGGGCCCCCCAATGGGCCATGCAAGCAAGGGACAAGGGTCTAGGGAACGCCCCAACTGCTGCGGATTTTATTCCTCTTCCACAATCAACAGTTGGCAAGCTTGTCACCAAGGAATGGAAGAGTTAGAGTATCTACCAAGGCATCTTTTACTATCTCACTCTTTTCAACTTCAACTACACAACTTGTGTTACAGTATTACTCATAAGCAACTTCAAAGTTCATCCGTCTTATGTGTTTAACAAGTTCTCAAGGTGCTACCATAGAGTGCCTCGGGAGACGCCAGCGGCTAATGAGCCGAGCACATGGTGGCGCAGCTTGTTGGTCCGTTTCAAAACGCACCCTTGTGATGGAGTCCAATCTATCGGCCGATCGAGTGATGTACCTGGTCAAAAGAATACTGGCTGAGAAGTATATTAAAGCCTCCTAGTCCAACCCTGGTGTCATCAAACCTCATTCCCTCTCAGACACCACACTACCGCTAAGCATCGATCCATCGCTTTTCATCCGTTCATACATTTTGATTGCCAACAATCGTCTGATTCTCGATCACCATGGCGAATGACGAGTTCAACAAGGACATGGTCCACGGCACCACATCTACGGTTTCCCCCATGAATGAGTGCATCAAATACGCAAAAGAGGCACAGGTAACTCCCCATTGATGGCTACAAGAACACGGCCAGGGCATAACATGCTGACTTTCTCATCTCAGACGCTACTTGGAAGACGCCGGTGGGACCGGCTCGCCCAATATGCTTATAACGCCATCGAACTCGTGCCAGAAGGAAGATATCCTGTTTGGAGTCCGGAGGCTTTGAGGATAGATGCCCAAGTTAAGAAGGAGTTCGGAGACTTCGCGGACGTGGCGGGTGAATTCGTGATGTTCGTACAATACTCCAAGACGGCTCACTACGATGCTCGCACGGGGTCGTTCACAGCTTGAAGAGCCAGGGAGGGTCGAATGGATGGAAAGTAAAGGACCGAAATGAATCAGGATGTGACGGAATAACGGCCATAATTGATGTTTAATTGTTTCTTGTTAAATTCGAGAAGACATACTTGCAGTTTCCCTTGGCTCTTACCAACATCCACGCGACGCGCTGTACTACGCAAGGCTTCGAAATAGCAGAAATATCAATCTTTTTTTATTTTTATCATCCAACGCCCACTCTTTTATAGCCGCTGAATAACGTGGTATGAATATCTTAGCTGCTGGGCTTGCCATTGCCTCCGCCCAGGCTATGTTGTTTCAGGAAAAAAGCCTTGGGCTGAGCCTATCACTTGAGGGGGCCTCTAGTTGGTCCGTTTCTTCTGTCAGACAACCTATTAGTTCCAAACACAGCCTCCTAAGGACCAGGGCACGCGGGACCGGGCCGGTATCTCGCCGCCCTCAATTAATATGGCGCAGTGTCTCTCGTCACCTCATTTGCGTCACGCCGACCCCATTACTCCCAGCTAAAATAAAACCTGACATCACCCCATTGCGATAGTTCGGCTTCAATTACCTATCTGTATCACTGCTATATCACTTTAAAACAATAATGCCGACAACGAAAAAAACCAACAACGAGGCCACCGGGCCCCAACGTGCGAGCGAATTCAACGATGCGCTTCAAGCAGTGCCAGGACAAGTCGCCATGATGCACGTGTTGCAATACTCATACATGGCACAGGTACGTCCTCTCAGGTGGGGCTAAATCACAGAATACTTATCGACAAATGTGCAGACTACACTTCGGAAGTGCGACTTTGAGGAGCTGATCGAAGCGTCCCAAGAGGCGGGCAAGATTCTGCATGAATGCGGTTCACCGATTGACTGCACAGGGAATCAAACTTGGCCTGAGGATGCGGAGAAGGTCAACACTCAGATCAAGGAGAAATACGGCGAGTTTCCAGCAGTTGTCGACGGATTTAAGAAGCACGTTGAACATGCTCGGGCGGCGATCGCAGCGAGTAGGCGAGGGATCTAGGAGTCAAGCGAAAAAGAGGGGGGATGAAATGAATATCAGAATGAGTAATATGACCTAATGAAATTGAGCTTCAAAAATAATCACCGAGGAAATGATACGTGTAGGTGTAGAAAAGCCTTGTCGTTGGCTCTGTTGAGATGAAGATTCTTGGCTCAAGCCTCTCACGCATTTGTTCACCCCACATGTGAGTGTTCTAAAACCCAATTCTGGCTGATAGCTCCAAGCCATTACCATATAGGCATAGAAACATATTTCAGTAAATTAAATAGGAGAGCAAGATTTAAAATAATTCAAAGAGCGCTTCCTTGAAGAAAGCTTAGACAAAAGCACTGAACTCGCCTCAAAAAGGAAGAAAAAGATGAAATCGAGGCGGCTCTAGGGTATGCTTCCGTGGCTGAAAGCTGACGCACCGCCACAACCACACCAACCACCACACCAGCCACACCCGCAAGGCAACCCAGCTTTCCATCCCCAAACCGCCAGCTATCCTTCCAACTGTCCTCTCGAAAACAAAAAGACCAACAACCTCGCCCCTCCGTAAACCTCCACCCCTTCTCCCCCTAAAGCGCATAATCACAATCTCATACGCGCAATGTCAAACTACTACTCCAACCAACAACCGCAGTACCCAGGCGCCGGCCCCTCGGCAGCCCAGAACCTTCAATTCTTCCCTTCGCAGTACGGTCCTGCCACGGGGGGCACTGGCACACCGCAGCCCGGCGGCGCATATGGGTATGGTAATCAGCAGGCTGGGTTCGCTGGTACACCTGGTGCGCAGGGCTTCTCGGGCGCTGGGTACGGCGCGCAGGGTGTTTCGGGTCGACTTGGTGAGCAGGGAGGGTTGAGGACTGGGTGGGTGGCTGCTTTTTCGTCCGAGGGGTATGATGGGGAGCCGCCTTTGTTGGAGGAGTTGGGTGTCAATTTTGGTCATATTCAGGCAAAGGTGAGCTCCTTTGCGCGGCTACTTGTGATGCGCTGAAGCTGACTTGTGAAAGACACTCGCGGTGTTGAACCCCTTCAGGCGCATCGATTCGCATCTCATGGACGATTCCGATCTCGCAGGCCCGCTCATCTTCTTCCTCCTTTTCGGCTTCATCCTGCTCTTCTCAGGAAAGGTCCACTTCGGTTACATCTACGGCCTCGCTGCCCTGGGCTCCGTGTCCCTCCACCTAATCCTCTCCCTCATGTCGCCCTCCGACGCCGGCCAGCAGCCTCAACAGCCAAGCTACCCCCAGTACAGCAGCGAACCTTCGGCACCTGCTCCTCCGCCAGGCCAGCAGGGCGGTCACTTCTCCGCGACCTTGACATACCCCCGAAGCGCGAGCGTGTTGGGATACTGCCTGTTGCCTCTTGTGGCGACTAGCTTGTTTGGCATCGTCATGCCGATGGATACACCTATCGGCATTGTGTTTACGACGGCTGCCATCATGTGGTGCACATACAGCGCAAGCGGCATGTTCTGCGTGGTAGGACGAATGAAGGGCATGAGAGGTCTTGTCGCGTACCCCCTGGGTCTGTTCTACGTCGGCTTCGGCATCATGGGCATTTTCAGCAGCCGAGGGAGCGGATCGCTGTCCAACGCTGCTGCTAAGCTCAACGGCTGAAGGACTGACGACACTAAGCTCTACACTCTACCCAACGACAGGAGGCTGGACGGCATATCCTCGCCGACCGTGACTCCAATGATGCTGTACATGATTACGCCCTGGAAGCGGCCCAAGGCAAACGACGGGGGGACAAAGGCGTTTGAGAGGGACGGCCGAGATAGGGGATACTTCGAGTTATACGGAAATGAAATGAGGAACCACTTTCCCCTTTGTATTAGAATAATACTTCTCTTTTTTTCTTGTTGTACGTCACGAACCCACCAAAAGAAGGCAAAGGCAGGTTTGATCAGGAGAAGGAACCTTGATAGCGTTCGAGAGGAAGAAAACTCTCTAAATTTAAGAAAAAGAACCATTGAAATATGCAACAAGCATCGCATCGAAATCTATATATGACACAGTCCGCGTGCAAAAAAAGCAGTAACAAACAACGTAAAAGCATGTCCCTATCGTATCACTTTTTGTTCACAGGAATCCGCCCGTCCGATTCCCAAATCCGTTTAACCCGCCCTCCCTAATGCGGTCCGAGAAAGTACAAGTTTGTTGATCAACAAAACGCTGCTGCTCATCATCTGCAGCGCATTATTAAAGGGCTGATGTTGAAAGATCCATCACGAGGAAAAAGCGTCAAAAACCACCGCTTGTTTGTTTCGTACCGGCATAACAGCCTCCCACACACCGAAAATCATCTAGGCTTTCTTGCCTCCATCGTTCTCCTTGTCATCGTGGTCGTGAACGCCGTTTGTCTTGACGCCGTTTGTCTTGGGCACTTCGTCGGACTCGCCAAAGACGACAGAGTACTGGCCTCCGGCACCAGCACCGATAATCTTCTTGCCACGGATGGCGGTGTTGTCGATCAGAGTAGGAGTGTGGATATCGTCGATGGTGCCCTGGCCGGTCTGGTAGTTGCTGGAGAAGCCCCAGGAAAAGACCTTGCCCTCGGAGGTGATGGCAAAGCTGTTGTCGGTACCGGCAGCGACGGAAACGGTTTCCTTGACGTCTGTGATTTGTTAGCAATGTGTTTTTCAGTGTATGGAAACAGTACATACCGGGCTGGACAGTGGGCTTGAACAGGATACGGGCGTTGCCTCGCTCGTCGTAAATGGCAATATCCTCGTTCAGCTTTTCAAACTCGAAGCCGACCTGGTAGCCATCGACGCGGCCCCAGGTGAAAAGCTCGCCATCCTCGGCGCAAGCCAGAGAGTGGTGCTCGCCACCATCGATATCAGTAATGTTGTAGTCCTCGAGGGAGGTGAGCTTGACAGGTCGGAGGATGACGGCATCGTCCTCGCCTGCGTTGGACTCGATACCGATCTCGCCAAAGTTGTTCAGACCCCAGCCGTAGACACAGCCCTTGTTGTCGATGGCAAAGCTGTGGTAGGAGCCACAGGCAATCTTGACAATTTTGCCTCGGGGCAGACCGACGCCCTGGGGAGTAAGCGAAGACATCTTGTTGCGCTCGATGATGCGTCGTCCGAGCTGGTTCTGCTGACCGCAGCCCCAGGCAACAACGTTGCCCTTGATGTCGAGAGCGAGGACGTGGTTGGAACCGGCTGCGAGGGCGGTGATCTTCTTGAGTGTGGGGACGAGGACGGGAGTCGATTGAACCTTGACGGTCTCTGAGAAGCCGAGGATACCATCGCTGGATCGGAAAGTGCCCCAGCCGTAGACGCGGCCATCCTCGGTGAGGGCAAAACTGGCGCTGTCGCTGGCAACGACTTGGACGAACTTGGTGCCAGCAGCAAAGTGGTCATCGGACACAGCAGTAGGTGTGCTCTCCTTGGGGTTGATGCCAGTGTCATCCTCATCCTCGGAATCAGAGTCCTCCTCCTTGTCCATGCCGCGAAGGCCGCCGTCCCAGTTGGTGTCTCGTCCGAGAGCACCCTGGTCGTTGACACCCCAGGTCAGGATCTTGTTATCGTGGGTCAACGCGACCGCGTGCATGCCACCGCAGGAGATCTGGACGACGCCAGTGTTGGCGGCGGAGAGGTTATCGTTGAGTCGGGGACGCTTCACATCGATGGGCTTCTTGTTGTTGACGCGCTTGCTGCCGAGACCAAGCTCGCCAGACGAGCCCTCGCCAAAGACGTAGACATCGAGGATTTGGGTGGGCGCGTCGTTAATTTTCTTTCCGATCTCGGGATGAGCCTCCTTCTTCTCCTTCTTGGGAGCAGCCTTCTTGACGGGCTTCTTGGGGGCAGGCTTCTCGTCCTCGGGCTCCTCGGTCTTGGCCCTCTTGGTGGTCTTTGCCTTTGTGGCAGCAGGCTTAGCAGCGGGCTTCGCGGCGGCGGCGGGTTTGGCGACAGCAGCCTTGGGCTTCGCGGCCGCCTTGGCCTTTGTAGAGGGCTTCACAGCGGGCTTGACGGCGCGTTCTGTGGTCTTGGACTTCTTGGTCTTGCGCGTGTCGGCCTCAGACTCGGCTTCTGTCTCCTCGTCGCGGGCCTTTCGCTTCTTGGACGCGCCATTGGTAGCAGGCTCCTCCTTCTTCTTAGTGGCAGCGGCAGCAGCGGCCTTGGTGGGCTTGGTAGCCTTCTTCACGGCAGCGGAAGTAGTGGACGTCTTCTTTGTCGACGCGGCCGTCTTGCTGACGGATGCTTTGGTTCGAGGGGCCATCGCGTCCTTGTGTGATGCGGTGGGTACCCGACGCGCTGAAAAGGATGGTAAAAAGGTGATTTGGCGCAGAGATTGATGTGAAACACGTGCTTGGGAAGCAATACAAAGAACCTGCAGAGCTTCCTTTGCGCGCAGGTAAAAGAAAGTCGATGATGATGAAAGATGAGAGAAGCTGTGGTAGAGCGCGAAGCAAAGCAGGTGGTGCTTTTTTTTTTTCACTTCCTTTTAGGTGTGATCTGACCATGCTGAGTGTGGATGACCTGAGCAGGGATCAGCAGATGCCAATCTGGGCTTACAGGGGGGTTCTAGGCCTGAAATGGGATTCACCGCCCGGAAGCTCCCACTGGAGAATGTCCGGCAGAATAAAATTTTAGTGCAATTGAACTTCGGGCGGTGACGGAGCTTGTCGCGTCTTGTCGTGAGGCGACCCATTCCATTGGGACACGGATAATTCAGTGCAACAATCCCACGAACCGCGGGGGTTCGGTTTTGTTGATCCTTGTTTTTTTTGGTGATTTTTCTGTTTTCGTCTCTTGTTTTTGTGCCTCTTGGAACTTACAAACCTAAACTCTTCAAACGGAAATCTTCAAGTTGAATACTTCCTCTTTCGGAGGAGCATCGCGCCAGGTGCAGTTCATCCCTTCTCACGCGTTTGCCAACAAAGTACAATGTCATTGTTTGTAATTGATTCTCAAAATCTCGCTATCTTTAGCCCTGATTGCCTTGCCGCCCAACCCAGATGCCATTCATTCACGCCCCAACGCCGACCCATAATACAATTATGCCAGTGAATCACGAATCCCTGCCCATAGAACCATTTATTTATCGTCGGGTGGTAAAGTCGATCTCGTTGGCAGGGTTGTATCCGCCATCGGAAGCCTTTTCGCAAGTGCAGCCACCTGAGCACAACACGTTAGCACCGAGTCAAAGCTTCTGTATGGGGCCATATTGCACATACCAGCAGGTCGCGAGCCACAGGCACAGGTTGAACCGGCGACGGTCGCATTTTCAGAGGAAGCTCGGTCGCAGGTGCATTCACCGGCAGGTCGGGCGCGGCATGAGCAGCGAGGTCCCGCGACGGCGTTCTCGCTGGAAGCCTTGGAGCATGTACAGTGAAGAGCCGACTTTTGGCCACACGAGCAGGTAGCCTTCTGGGCTGGAGGAGAAGATGTTAGCTGGGTGTCTTGTAGTTGAAGATGATGTCACGTACCACAGGCGCATTCAGCGTTGTCGCCGGAGCGGCAGCAAGTGGCGGGAGCGTTGACGACCATTTTTGCGGTTTGTGTGGTGATTGTAGAGTGTGGTGGGAAAGTTGAGAGTTGGAAGAGAGTTTGAGAGTTGTAGTCGTAACTTGAGATTGTGCTTGAGATGCTGATTCTAAACTGTCACCAAGAGAGGCTCCCTCAACTTATTTGTACTCGATCACTCCCGGGGAACCTGTCTCCACTCCCTCTGGAGCTTGGTTGCCGCATCTCCAACTGGCAGTAATCGCCTCTTCTTTGATTGGCCAAATCCCCGGATCCTCTTCCTTTCCGCCAATCAGCGATTGCTTATTTCCAACTTGTCAACCTTCGCCTCCAAAACCGGCCCATGCTTAGGAACGCCTCCATCTATTTCGAGTTCTCGAACGTCATGAGTAATCAGGGCCCAGATTGAACCTTGTCATGCTCTGGTCAGCTTTTTGATGTGGTTTTCTCAGCTGTTTTCGGCCTGCCCGTTACTGGATGGTCATGATCACATTCTCTGTCTGTCGCTGGAGGTTGCCGATAGTTACAGATGGCATTCCTTGCCCGTCTTAACCTCTCACATCGCAATTGTCCATTCTCGATAAGAGCTAGTCGAAGCTTCTCATGTCATGATGGCTTGTAGAAGCCATGACGTAGATACTGTCCTTGGTCTCTGCAAAAGTCAGCTGCCTCTGGCTGACTGACTGACTCGCCATGCTCAACGCCTTTGGCTCCCTTTGTAGCGGCGTCTACTTCACCGCTATCTGCACTTTAAACCGATATTCACTTCAAACCAACATCTCCTTGACCCCGCCGTCGCAATGCAAGTGATCTCATCTTCATGACGGCCCCTCGCCGACTTCTTCCTCCGGTCATGGGCAATCTCGGCGCCGCTCCCCGAATTCGGCCCCGCTTCGGTCGCTTCCGATGACTGTTGGTGCCCGGTTGACTGATTTGTCCCGATCACGGCCTCACCTGAAATGCTTCAACCCATTTGCACTTTCACCTGCCTTTGTTTGAACTGGAATTACTCTGAACCGTGCATTTGCAGTTGCGCAACGTCTGCCCAATCGTTATCATCTCGCCCGCTCGTAGCCGATTTCAACCCGATAAGCCCCCGCAGATCACATTCGGCTTCATAATACCTCACAGCCAACTTGATGCCATTCACAGCCTAATTGAACCCTTCTTGTCTTTCGTCCCCTTTATTTAACTCTTGACTCGCCCCATCCTTCTTAACCGCCTTCAACATGTCCAACTCTACTGAACCTACTGTCGTTGTTGTAGGGTATGAGTGAGCTCTCCCTTTGGATGACCTGAGCTAAACCTGTCAGTGCTGGAATCATCGGCCTGACCAGCGCCCTCAAGATCCAGCAACTCCTCGCAGAGTCTCCAACCACTCACTCAACATCTGTCCTCCTCGTCGCTAAAGAATGGCCAACCTCAATCCCAGGGGCTCCCACCTCCCACTCTGCCGACTACGCGTCCATGTGGGCCGGCGCCCACGTCCGACCCATCCCAGGTTCAACGCCCCAGCTCCGTCGAGAAGCCAAGTGGCTCAAACATACCGTTGCCGAGCTTGAAAGCCACCGTCAGAGTGAACCCTGGGTTGGTATCCGCCGTCTCCCGGGTATCGAGTATCTTGAGGATCCATCGCCCGACTACCTGAAGCAGGATGGTCAGAGCTTTGCCGCCGAGACTGGTCTGTCAGGTTATCGCAAGTATGAGGCCCATGAGCTCCCAGATGGAGTGAAGCTGGCGTTTGAGTATGACACATACTGTATCAACTCACCCCTTTACTGCAGCAACTTGCTTCGCAAATTCATCCTCCAAGGTGGAAAGACGCTGCAGAGGGAGCTCAAGAGTGAGGAAGAAGCTTTTACACTTGCGTCTCAAGTTTCATTCGTGGTCAATGCGAGCGGAATGGGGTTCAAGGATACCAAGTGCTTTCCCATTAAAGGCAAGTTTCGGTGACCCGCGGAGTGTCTCGGTAGCCCGCGGGCGCCGAGCACACCAAACTTTGGAGTCGTGGGTACTGACAGTTTAAACAGGTCAAATTGTACTGACCAATCTCGCTGCTGCTGACAAGACCATCACAAAGCAGCTGAAGGATGGTTCTTGGAGTTTCATCATCCCCAGATCTTTCAATGGAGGCACAGTGATTGGTGGCACCAAGGAGCCCGGCGACTGGCGTATTGAACCCTCCCTGGAGATGCGCCAAAGAGTTTTGGATAATGCCAAGAGCATAGCTGCCGAGTCATGTGGCCAGAGCCAGGTACCCGAACCGCTAAAGGTCATCAAGGATGTGGTTGGTCGAAGACCGGCTCGTGAGGGAGGGATGAGGGTTGAGACAGAGACCAAGAACAGTGGTCAGGGGCTACAGTACGTCATCCATGCTTACGGCGCTGGAGGACGCGGCTACGAGATGTCTTGGGGTGTTGCAAGTGAGGTGGCCGACCTGGCGAGAGAGGTGCTTCGTTCGACGTCGGCGCTTAAGTCAAAGCTGTGATGCGTCGGGTATCGGATATCAGGATGCATCGTATGATGCTAAACCCGATTCACCAAACCACAACATTATATGGACAAGCATACTTCACACGTTCAAAAGACTACCAGTTGATTTATAGTACAGGAATGGTATTGGAACCACTCGTTTAATTTATTGACAATATTTGAAGTTATGTAAGAACTTATATGCGAAGTGAAAGACTTGGTTGTGCGAGTATCGGTTCCACCATCCTCCAGGGGGTAACAACTATGGTTGATGCTCAGTTAGACCATGGCTGACTTAGTTGCCGCGGTAGTAGCGGCGAGAGAACTGGGGGACGCTGCCGCATCCAGAATCAGCAGGGGCGGAGGCAGCAGGTTCAGCAGTGCTGGTGTCAGGGGCGGCAGCAGAGTCGGAGCCAGTGGCAGAGCCAGAGCTAGAGGAAGCACCGGAACCACCAAAGATAGCAGGTCCAGGCATGGGGTAAGAAGTGGCACCGTTGTAGATGCTGTAGTTGGGAGACAGACCCTCAGTGTTGCTGTCGTAGACACCAGGGATCTTGACGACATCGGTAGGCTCCTGGCCGCTGCCAGAGTTGGTGACCTTGATGTGGGCGCAGTTGAAGTAGAACTCGGTTCCACTGGGTCGGTGAAGAGCAAGATGCTCAATGCGGACAAGGTACTCGCCGCTGGGGACCTCAGCGGGGATGGTGAAGTCGACGCGGTTCTTGTTCCAGATGAGCCAGTTCTCGCCGGAAGCCTGCATGGGGAAGTTGGCACCAAGCTCATAGACCTTGAACCAATCTCCAGAGCCATCGTAGGACTTGACGTCGTCGTTGGTGGCTCGGGACATGTAAACCTGGATGGCACCAGGGTGCTGGATGTTGCCGTCCAAGTTGGTGCCAAAGCCAATGGTGTCACCGGCGCTGACCTCGGCAACCTTGGTAGAACCAGCGTTGGCCTGGGCGCCAGTGTTGCACCTCATCTCGTTGCTAGAGAGGATATCGAAGCCAAAGTGAGGCTGGAAACCCTGAGTCGAGCGGCGGACGTACTCGTACTCGGCCGACTTGACATCGTTGACGTAGAGATGGGGGAAGAAGTAGTGAGCCGAGACGAGGTTGGGGAGAGCCAGGATGGCAGCAGAAAAGGAGATGGCGGCCTTCATGATGACTGAGAGTTGTTGGAAAGAGTGTGTACTGGTAAAGTAGAGCTGAATAATAACCTCTGGGGTAGAATGAATGAAAGTCTCGGCTAGCGAGAGTAAGAAACGAGTGCTTGGAAGGACGATGAGAAACTGAACTGCTGATGAATCTCAAGAGTGTCAAAACTTGGGTCTTTATATATCTATCATCACCAGCACGTTACCGAGGTCTTGATTCTTGGCCGCGCACTCAGCAGACTACCTGAAACCGAAAACCCCCTGATACGAAAAAAGAAGTCCAGAACAACCGCCAGAAACATGCTTAACCCGACACATGGGAACGGTCTTGGCCCCAAGGTTCATCTTTTCCCCCATTGGTGGATGAACATGGTGTTTCACGTTCCCTTGACTTCAGCTCAGGGAGGGAAGGTGGGAGATGTGTACATTAAACGAAGAACGACGGAGGAAGTTCAGCCCCAAACGAAACACGAACGGGCAAGTCTTGCGAGCGGGTCTTGAGGGTTTCGAGTGTTGAACCTAGCTCCTTGTCAAAGCTTCGTGCCAGGGGTGGATCTTGGGTTGCATTTCAGGGTCCTTTTGACATGGGTTTCGGGGAATGGACCTTGTGGATTAGAGGGTCTGAGCGGGAAAAAGGAAGAACACTTTTAGAATGACGTTTGATACTAGGCATTCTGCATGGACGGGGCGTAATCATTGAGCCGGGTTGGGGGTTGACAGAGTGTATCCGTAGGACCGTTTGAGAGGAACTAAGGGGCGGGTTCCAGCCACAGTTAGCCAACTCCCCGAAGCAATATTCCACTTCAAAATTTGCGATTCACGCCGTGATACATGTTGAAAACCAATCCTATCGAACCTCAGAGTCACGAACTAGTATGAGAAACCCCTAATCTTGAAAAGAGGTAAAAATCTAATGTGACCGTTGCTCAAGGACATACTTATGGGAGCACAGCTGGCATTATAGTACTGCAGATATACGGTTTTAGCGTAGCCGAGCGCTAAGGCCCCTGTGGCGCAGTGGGATAGCGCGTAGCTCTTATACCTTCATTACTTGGTGAAGATATGCTAAGGTCGTGAGTTCGAACCTCACTAGGGGCAGACTTTTTGCACTCCTCCCTGACAGATGACACTTCTCTATTTGTCTTTTTGGCCACTTGATTATAATGAAGGGATGCGGCGGCATGAAATCAACAGGCAATGAATGTCTAGGCTGTGTGTGCCAGCTATCTATCTGGTGATGAAGAGATAGAACAAGCATCTACTCCCACACGCCGTCTGGCTGACAGAGTAGAGAGTGGTGCGTGATTGAGGCATACAGACACAAAACATGTGACTTTTGAGGGAGAGAGAACATAAACGAAGCTACAACAGACTCAATGAGTTGAAAAATTAGACTTTCAATTAGCGGAGTAATTGCAATGACAGACACGCTTCTTCTATCTTCCTTCCATAGTATTACCAGTCCGAGTCCATTGTTCCTCCATCGGTTGGTTGCCTCTTTACCTTGTCTCTCCCATTTTCCGTCTGCTACTCTACTCATCTCCACCAACAAACTCCTCCACCATGTTGTCCAAATCAACACCATAAAGCCAATCAAGCTCAAAAGGCTTCATCTCCACATCCCCCTCCTTCGGCAACCTCCTCTGATTAATCTCCCCATTCAACTCAATCACCCTGTCAATCCGTCCCTGCCTCCCCTCCTGCCACCTCTTCAGCGATCCACCAAGCCCCTTCTGTTTCAGATGCCCGAGAATCCTAGCAAACGTGTAGACGTCTTCAAAGGCCTGGTTCACACCCTGGCCCGCGGTCGGGGGGATTGCGTGTGCTGCATCGCCGAGGATTATGACTCGGCTATGCTTGTCGGTTGATGCCCATTTGTTCAGCTTGGGGAGGAGGTAAAAGGGCCAGAGGTTTACTTTGTCGGTTGAGATTTTGGAGGTGGCGTTGGAGACGATGGGTGGGAAATCTTGGCTGCCTTCGCGGAGAAAATCGATGCACCATGTCTTGTCGGATGTCATGGCCTTCCAGGCATCTCGGCCAGGGTCTTCTCCTGCAAAGATTCGCTGCTTGCCGATGAGAACCTCTGAGCCGTCGGCCAACTGGGGTGCAATGACGAAAGCGCCTCGCTTGTTGTGCATAAAGGTAGCTGGGAGCTTATATTCGTCCTTCTCCATATTGAGTTGCTCCGTAGGCACAGCAGCCGTGACACCAATCATGTTGGTGAACTTCGGCTGCAAGTCAGGATGAAGGTATGATCGGACGCGAGAGTGAATGCCATCTGCGCCGACCAGAAGAGAGGCGGTGGACTCTGAACCATCGGTGAAGAGCCAGGTCACACTGTCCTCAGTCTCGGTGACGATGCGGTCAAACTTTTTGCCGTATACAACTTGGATCCCAGCTTCACGGACCAATTCGAGAAGAATGTTGATGAGTTCGAAGCGGTAGACTCGAATGCCGGAGTATCCATATTTCGCAACGGATCCAAACTCAAAGACGTCGACTGTCTTGCCGTCTTCAGAGAGAAAGTAGGACTCTTCAAACTTGTAGCTTCGGGGTTCCATGCGCTCAAAGACGCCAAGTTTGTCAAGAATGCGGAGGGCATTGGGTGAAAGCATGATGGCGCCGCCAATGTCCAGGGGTGCACTTTGCTGTTCGTAGGCGACTGCTTCGATGCCTTGTTGGTGGAGGGCGAGTGCCAGAGTTAGGCCTGAGAGGCCTGCTCCGATGATGGCAACTTTGGTGGTTGACATGATGAATAGAGAGATTTGATGTTGTTTAAGGGAAAGGAATTTCGTAATTTGGGAGTTTGAAGTTGTAGGTAACTTTGAAGGGTGGTTCTGAGTGGGGGAGGATTGAGGTAGATGGTAGGTAATGTCTATTCTCGACTCAACCACCAACTCAACTCCCTATATATACAGACCATCGGTCTATGCTACGAAAGCAAATGCACGGACAATCCCTCGGTCTCGGTCTTTGATCTAAGCCACCTTTGCAATCTTTTCACGCATTTGTCAAACAAAAAGCCTCTTCATCATCGCCCTCGTCCAATAAGCATCGTCGCTGAGGCAAGCATCCGGCCGAGTGGTAAGACTCGGCCGATACATTCTCACTCTCGGCCGTGTCGGATGACAAAAGACTGCGACGGTAATCTCGGTCTTTTGCACAAGCCTCTCGGTAAATTGAGAATCCGCGCCTCGATTCGTAAGATTGGGGCTGTGTTGTTAGCTGAGTCCGAGCGAGACACGGCCGAGAGTCCGGGGCCGAAAGTATCGGCCGATATGAAGGAGGATGGACTGGGCTCTCTTGACTATAAAGGGTTTGGATGGGATATCCTCTTCTATCTCTTCATCCTCATCAGCAACTTCATCTACCTCAATAAAAGACACCTGTTTGTCCTTCACAGCTACACTCTTCTTTACAACCAACTCAGCCAAGAGCTCCAAACTTACACAAGCACACTCACAACCACAACCTCATCTTCAACATGCACATCTTCGTCATCGGTGGAACCGGCCGCAACGGCTCTCTTGCCATCCAAGAAGCCCTCTCCAGAGGCCACACTGTCACCGCCCTTGTCCGCAACCCATCCGCCACATCCCTTCCCTCCCACACCAACCTCACCCTCGTCAAGGGCACACCCACTTCTCAAGCCGACGTCCTCGCCGGCCTCACAACTCCCGAGCCTCCCAAAGCAATCATATCAGCGCTTGCCCAGGTTCGCACTTCAGAGTCGCCTTTTGCAGCTCTGCGTCCTGATACTACACCCGACTTTTTGACCTCGAGCATGCGCGTCTTGCTTGCTGCCATCTCGCAGGCCAACCTCCCTTACAAACCCAAGCTGATCGTAAACTCAGCCCAAGGTGCCGGGTCTTCCTGGCGCTCCATGAATCTTCCCGGAAAAATCATCTTCAGTCACGGAAGCATGGGCATCGGGCTCAAGGACCACAACAAACTCGACCAGCTCGTGCGCGACAGCGGATTTCCCTTTGTTTCCCCACGACCGTGTATGCTCGCCGAAGGTGACGCTAAGGACGTCAAGGTCTGGCCTGAAGATGGAAAGGGCTGTGCGTGGATGCCATCTATTACTAGAGCGAGCGTTGGAAAGTGGCTCGTTGATGCGGCGGAGAGCAGTGAGTGGGATGGCAAGACACCAGTGATAACGAATTAGCGCTACGAGAATGCGGCATGGCAGAATAGAGGAAGAAGGATTTAATATGTAACCGAAATATATGCCTTTACTTTTGATATAGACGAGCCCGCGGAATACTACGAGGGTCTACATCAATCGAAATCTTGACCAGTAGAACTCCTGAAGTCACACGCCCCCGAGCATCTGAGAGTTCAATGAGACGGTATCCCTCACGGAGGCGGTCCAGGCGGATGCACGCCCAACCTAACAATGGTGGAGCAGCGAGAGACTTTTGAACATCCACGACCTTGAATCTGATAAAGCAGGTTAGTTCCTGATAGACTATCTGTGTAGCGCTATTACAAAGGATGGCTTGAAGAAAGTTGATGACGGTTGTACTGAGAGACGGAAACGCCACCTCGGCCAGAGGATAAGGAGCCTAACTCACCTTGCAAAGGTCAACTCTGGTGGGCTCCACCCGATGTCGAAGGAGGTAGTTGACCCAGTGGCGCCGAACCGAGGATCCTTGGTCTTGCCTGTCTCAGTCTTGAATCTGTGCTCGACCTTATCACCCTCATCCTGGTCGCAGTGAAACTCGACCTTGACTTGTGGACGTAAAACACTCTTGTCACGTCTGATGTGGTATTGTTCATCATCGGCATCATCCGGGATGTCGAAGCCTGAGAAAATAGTGATTGAAATATCCCTGGCGCCCCTTGGTATGGCGTCATGCTGAAACTCAACTATTCCATCGGTGTTCCGATATCGTGCATGTTTGAGAACCCACCCATCCTCATCGGCAAACATGCCATGGTGGAGCATCATGCCCTCATCAAGACTATGCCAGTTCAGGGCTACCATTTGAACACCCATATGCCAGAAGAGCGATGGATCAGGGTTAGATGAGTCTATTCTGCGCCCAGACGGGAAGCAGCCCATAAAGTAATTTTTGTTGTGGAAAAGCAACCCAGTTCCGTCTGCTTCATCAAGCTCAAGCAGCTTTGTTTCGCTTAGAGAAAAGATGTGAGACGGCTTTCTTGCTGCTGGAGTATCAAAGCCGCGGAACGCCTCGCTTTGCGTGTAGATGGCAAGATCGCTGAGGGCCTGACAGATGGCAATCCTGGATGACTTTGCTTTAGGGTTCGAGTCGCTCATAGGTTTCAGGTCCTGAATCGAGCTTTCCGAGTCGCTCGAGGTAGCGGTCTTGATGGCGCGAGCAGGGCTCTTCTTCACCTTGACGAGGATTCTGCGCCTCAGATCACCCAACTTTGGAAGACGGAATCTCGGATCATAACCCCCAAGAGGTTCATCGAGAAGGAGTTCCCCCCATTCCTCTTTCATGATCCTCACCATCGCCTCCTGCTGCTCGGTATCTGCATGCACCTCAAGACTGACAATGATGGGTAGATCGTTGTTCACAAAGGCCGAAGTTCCAATGATGGCACACACTTCGCGGAAGCCACACGGGGGGATCAAAGTCCAGCCATGAGTGACAATGGGCTCGCCAAGTTCTACCTGTGATCCAGGTTTGGGAGATTTGCTGACCTTGCTCATCAAGGTGTTTGGCCGATGGGTCTGTGAGGAGTCTCGGGCGTCTGGCTTGACGGGATCCCCGCCCCAAACGTCAATCTCAACATATCGACATCCTTGTAAGAGAATCTAGAGTCAGAAGGTTAACTTCAACACGAGAATTCTCAATCTGGGGACTAATACATCTCGATATGCCTCAGCGTTGGCCTTGGTGTTTAATTGATCTCCGACCAAGTAGCTGTTGTGGCTACTGCTGATGAAGTAGTGGGTCAAGGGCCTGGAAAGGTCTTTTGGCGGGAGGGGCCCTTGAGCGCTGGTACCTAACTGCACCCAGGCCATGTGGAACGCTGAAAAGTTATAGCTGTCTTTGATCAAGAAAGTCTGATCATATTCATAGCCTGATGGGCGCTGAAACCTGACGAATTCGTTAAAAGAGGTTATGGAGAGAGTCTCTTCCCCGTCCTTCAAACGATTGAATAAGTCGATGGCGGCTCTGTACATGGGGGGATGCGGATTGGTGTTGCCTTTCAGATCTTGTTGCGTAGCCGCAGATTTTGGCGCATCACTGGAGGCTGGTTTAGTAGTTCCTAGGTTAAAGACCTTTCTGATTCTGTTGCGGAACCGTGAGGTTGTGCTCTGAGGGGCAGGTTCGTTTTCCCCTTTGTCTTGTGGTTGTTCGATGGGAGTACTATCAGGATCCTGGGGTGCATCGTCGATATTGTTGGTCATTTCGGAGCTCGAAAGTGTCTCTTGAGTAAGTCGCGAGATGTCTGTCTCAGCAGCTGCCGACTCATCTCCATGCTCGTCAGCAAAGTAAATCTCCACAGGGAGACCGTCATTTTGAAGGGGCGGGGTTTGGCCCTCCACTGTGGTAACTCGATTGTGATCAAACCGGGTTAATTGAAGACGTCCGTGGCCACCCATTTCCGATAAGCCACTCAGCCACTCGATCACGGAAGGACACTTGCTGTATCCGAGGTCAAAAGTTCCCACCTCGTCTCCAAGGCTGACATGACTTGACCCCGGCCATGGGAGTGAACGAAGAGAGAAATCATGAACATGCTCCAAGACATGGTCGATCAACTCCGGAGAGTCAACAATCCCTTCCACATCACAAAGTGGGCAGGCTTCTATGCCTGTCTTTCTCTGCGTGGAGAGAGATATAAGTGTTGAGATGTCGTCTTCTTCAGCGGTGTCCGGGTGTGAGGCCATGAAATGTTCCATCATATCCGTCATGGAGGCGAAATGTGGCTCATCCGAACACAAAGGGCATTGCCAAGTGGGCGAGTGGTCTTGCCGAATGTGGCGTTCCAATGCCGTCCTTGTGCTGTAGTAGACATCTGGCGTGGGACAATCCTCCACGACGCAGGTATACGGACAAATATCCTCGCTCAAGTGCTTTCTGTTGATTAATATTAGAAAGAAAACTTAGACGATACATAATGGCGACCTACCTCCACCTGGAATTCGTTTTCACGTCTTGAACTGGCAAAGTTTGATAGCAGCACGGGCATTGGAACATGTGCTGGCTATTATCAGGGAGCTGGGGTCGGGGGTAGTGAGCTGTCGCTGTGATGCGTGTAACCTCGGTTCGTGGTGTTGAGGCCTCTAGTTTCCTGAGTGCTGGATCGGTGTATCTGAGTTTACTCTCGGGGACTGAGGCCGATGTCCCTGATATTGTGGGCGCGTCACTGTTTTTGGGGAGTTTGGGCGGCTGTTCGACGACAGGATGCGTGGTAATGGGAATATCCAAGTCTGGAGAGGCGATTGGTTGATGTGCTTGGTTGACAGCATCTTCAGAAATCGATGACAAGTCGGGTTTGCGTCTTTTGAGACCAGTTGAGTGTCGTCGTGCTTGCAGAAAACGATTCCTTCGTCGCAAGTTGGCCACCACTAGGCGTTGTTGAACGGGTGTCAATGCTTTAAGCTTCTGCTTGAATCTGTGGCTGCTGTATCCTTTCTCCCCAGGTCGGAGGACTGCTATGCACTCGAGGTGTTGTTTCAACTCGGAGTGCTCTTCCTCGTTGAAGAGGCGATCAGCTTTGTGAAGTCGTGACCGCCTTCCGGTCCGTCGGACAGCCAGTGCAAGGGAAGCGAGACTTCCTAGGGCCGATTCGATGTCGAGCAGGGTTTCTTCGAGAGACTGGTGTTTTTCTTGCAAGTCTCTGTAGTCCTCCAAGGATTGGTACAGCATGACCAGGTTTCCTTTGACTAGCTCCAGGTCAATAGGCCGCTCATTGAGCCTCCAGTCGAGCGAGGCTCTGGCGGAAGCTAATGCCCCGATGCCATCGATCCAAAGGTTGAAGTCTGCCAGCTTGTACTCGAGGCGTTCATCGATTGACGGCGCTTCGGGCTGCTCTTGTGAGGGTGGAGCCGTCCCGCCATCCTGGGTCTGAGGTCGAGAAGCGAGACATCGGTCAAACAGGTCTAGACATTTTTGCGAGAGCTCAGCGGAAGTGAGATCCAAAAGATCCATATTTTGGGAGCCCTGCGAGGAGGCGCATGGTTCGTGTGTGTTGGTGCAAGTGTCTGGCTGACATGGATGAGAAGGCGGAGACGACCCTGGTCTCATCTAGCCCACGTGACTATGAGTGGACGACAAGGCTGTGCCAACATCCAATACCGTTGCCTGAAACTGACCTGAGTGGATTCCTCATCCTGCAATCAACTCTTCTACAACCTTGACTGATGATGCTTTAGCAGGATGGCGACAGACGGTGACGGCCATGGTGCTTGCGAGCTGCTGGCCAAGGTCGCTATCGGGGTCTTTCCCATCATCATGCGATGTGGCATTCAGCAGAGGGAGCGCGTTGCGGGGGAGGTGGGAACGAGGCTCGGCCAGATTGCCCAAGAGCCGCTCCGGGGCTATGAGACAGACCAGGAAGCCGAAGGTGCTGCCACAGGTCTATTGCATACCCTGCTGATGATCTGCAAGGTATGTTGCCCTCAGAAGAATGGACTGTCCCAGACGAACGGAAGCTGCGTGTCTTGTGGCCTATCCCGAACTTGGCGACTATTCTTGCGGTTTGCATGCTAACATGGCGCATTTCAGTTCCCTGACCCAGTCGGAAGGCAAACTACAGCATGGGAATGCTATTCTAGCATCCTCGGGCTTCTCAGGCCCGAGAACAAGACCAAGTTGAACAAATCCGTCCTACTCTACTTCAAAATGGGTCCCGGTTATAGTAGCCAAGCAAAAGACCAGTGCGACAGATTCTTCGCCAGGCTTAGTGAGGAAGAGCCCAACAAAAAGACGGCTGCTGATCAGATCATGGGAGGGTCACGGATACCAGAGCCCAGCGACTACCCGCGACATGTCAACGAAAACCTCTTCCAAATTCTTCACCAGCATTCGGCCTGCCGACACGATCGGCCTAGGCACCTGAAATCTGAACCGCGTGGGGATGAGCATCTGCTCTCTCATCCTGCGAGGCTTTATCTGGATGGAAACCCGCAGATTCAGAGCAAACATGCACAGTTCGAGTTGGTGGTTTCGACAACTGATATGAATTACTGGCAAGATCTTTGGGTCGGAGTACCTGTGTAAGAAGTTGCGAGTTTGTTATTATTTGCGTCTGACTCAATTTCCTAGGCAAACGAAAGCCCGAAAGCGTCTTGTCGGGTTTAACCTAGCTCGAGACGTGAGCAGCGATGAAGATGAGGACGAGGGTGATGAAGACTCGAGCTTTGACCAAGTCAGCCCAGATTATTTCTGCCAAATCCTGCGAGACCCTTCATTCGCCAAGTTGAGAGTGCGATTTATTCAGGGCCTTGGACTTGTCTCACTTCGTCCCCCAGCAGCTCTCGAGCGCTTTCTATCGCCTGGCCAAGGTTTACAACTGCGTACAGCCGTGGAGAGCTACAATTTGAAGGACAAGGACAAGATCATACTTGTTCATGCTATTGCACACTCGTTCTGGCAGTTTTACGGATCCGATTTGATGCGAGAGCGGTGGACGAGCCACAATATCTGGTTCATGCAGGAAACTGATGAGCAACAACACCCAAAGGACCAGCTCGCTTTGAGAGCTTACGTGTCCCTCGAATTTGATGCCCAGAATGCCGTGGCTGAGAGTATGGACAACCCGATAGTTACACATCCTTTCCCCCACATTCTGGCCCTTGCCATTGTCTTACTGGAGATTGGCCTCAGGCGTCCTTTCAAGTCGATGGATCACCTACCACTCGCATCTCGGTTGAACCGAGACCACGGAGCTGCAAATCAGCTACTTAATGAGCTAGAAAGAAGTCACTGGGCCAGCTCGACGCAGCGAGACATCTTTACGAGGGTTGTCGCGAACTGCTTGGATCAGAGGCTCTTCTCCATCGACCAAACCCCCAAACACAAGAAGGCCAAGGGCTCGACATTAGCTTCTGCAGGCACCAAGGCCGGTAGTGGGGAGTTCCAGGTGGACGAGCGAAGAAGGCGAATCTATGCCAAGGTTGTCGAGCCTTTGTCGAGGCTTGTCAACATTGCCTTCAAGAACGACCCCAAGTGTATATCATACTTGTCAAGGTGTAGAGAGGCTGAAACATCTCAGCAGCAGCTCCGATCCCCGGTGGCATCGTTCCATGCGGGCAAGACGATAGTTGCCCGCGAGTGGCTGGACAACTTGAAGCACATCAGTCGACATATCATGATGCTGCGGCGACAAAAGTCGGACCAAGTATTTGAGCCTGTCAAGATTGCCATTTTGGACACGGGCTATGATGCGAGTCTACCCTTTTTCAGCCAGGCGGCAAGGGCCAAATGTATCCGTGGATGGAGAGACTTTGTAGGAGATGGACAAGTGTCTGATGCTGATGTTACGACAAGACGAGACGATTATGGACATGGCAGTTTGATGGCTCGTCTTGCCATGGAATCGGCTCCATTAGCCAACTTGTATATCGCACGGGTTGCCAGGGACAGTAAGGGGCTTTCTTCGGATAGCAGGTCTATTGCAGAGGTATGCTTGTCATCTGGCGTCAAAATGATTTGGGCTCACTGACATTGGAACTCTAGGCGATCCGTTGGGCTGGGCTAGAAGAGGAAGTGGATGTAATCTCCATGTCCTTTGGCTTTCCCGATGACGATGAAGACATTGCCAAGGCCATCGAGGACGTCCAGCGAGAAGGAAACGTCGTCTTCTTGGCAAGTGCTGGCAATAACGCGGCATATCAAGCCGAATCATTCCCCGCTCGACACAGATCCGTCATCTCCATCCGAGCAACAAACTGCGACGGCACATTCAGTGCCAGCAACCCGCCCATAATTGATCGCTACTCCGGCTCTGTTCTTGGCACATTTGGAGATGATTTGCCGGATAATATTCACAGAGAAATAACAGGGCGCTTTGGTCCATCAATCTGCCAACCTGGATCATCAATCGCCACAGCGGTTGCTGCTGGCATCGTTGCATCCACAATTGCCTACGCAGAGGCACTGTCCTCTGTTTTGCCTATACCGAAAGAACAAAGCCCTGTTCAGAGCTTGAAGAAAACACAAGGGATGCTGAGCATGTTGGAGAAGATGGCCCCGGAGCAGACCGGGCACCATAAGTTTGTTAATCCCATCTGGTTCTGGAGCGAAAAGTCGGATCCATGGAAGGCCTGGGCAGCCATGTACGATTCAGTGTCACAACTCATGTATAGGCGTTAGTGAGATGGCGGTGCTGGAGCACCCTTTGTCGTTTCGGTGGGAGGGGCCTCTGGGAGATGAAATAGTGGCTTTAAGCTTTGGCTTCGTACATATTTGCCACGAAACTAGAGAGTTTCCTTGAGCCAATTCACACGCCAATTGGCCAAGCTTAAACCAACGTCCCTTCATGATTCCCTTAGAAGTGCACAAGGCTCACTGTTTAGCCGCGCTGCAGCCTGGACTGGGGAAGTCCAATTAAAGCCGCAAGTAAGCGCTAGGGGCTGGGTAAAGATCAACAAGTCACTCGTCGTCTGCTCATCTTCACATCTCTTTCAATCATATCTTTTACTCGGCCTCATCAAGATGAAGACTTGGTTCCTCCCGCCCGACTTTACATTCACCCCCGATGGTCCCCTCCAGCTCGGAGCCGTCATCACGCATCCTGGCCGTCCCACCAACGTCATCGCATCACCCCGCACCGACCCATCGCTACAGCTGCCTGAGATACAGGTCATCACGGAAAAGAACCACTCACACTCAAACGAGATTAGCCGCAAGGGCGGAGTCAGTCTTTTTGCCAAGTTTGTCGAGTTTGCTTCTGGCTCTGTGTTGTACGAGGCTAGCCGACGAAATCTTCTTCAATATGGAAATGTCGATCACGAAGTTCGATCTCTCTTGGCACCTTTCTCAAAAGACTTTCTCCAGGCTCTTATTAGCTTGGATTCAGTGAAGGAGCACATTGACTCGGGTCTGTATGGCAAGAGACCCATATACCTTGTATCTGGTCTGCGGGTCACAAACGAGTCGTTCACAGTAACCAAGGAGAAAGGAACTGGCAACCAGGGTGAAATTTCAGCCTCTGGTCCCACAGGCCCTGTCCCAGTTGAAGTAGGTGGAAGCCTATCCGGGGGTGTGGAGAGAACAAAGGCGGATTCTTACGAGACGGCCCCGGGCATCATCTTTGCATACCGGCTGCACGTTATCCGTCCGAGGAGTAATAAGAGTACTCAATCGGAGATGTTTTCGAGTTCCAAAGGCCTCTGGACGGATAGAGCGGAGCCGGAGCCTATGGAGGTGCTTGATGTTACATTGGACGTGGTTGGGGACGACTTCGAGGAGGAGGAGATCACGTTTGATCAGGCTGATTTAGGGGATGGCGAATGCTGCCTGCAGAAGCGGTTGTCCTCATAAAAGGAATGAGCTTGCTATTGAAAGCTAGTTCTTCATTGGTTACGACCTTTCTCCGATCTGTCTCCGAGGCTGCCCTCATCCGCTGCGGGAGTTTGTGCTAGTTTTTCTGCATGAGAAGCAACCTGGTATATTGACGAAGCAATGATAAGAAAATCCAATGTAACCATGAATATGGTCGTAGTTCTGAACTCAGCAGACCAAGGTGCCCAATCCTCCATCTCAGTCCATCTTGTCACTCACAGCCCATTCTTCTCGTCGTTAGTACTGGCATGGCCACTTGTGTGACCATTCATCTTTCCATTGACATTGACATTGACAGACTCAGTTGCGTCTTCGGCATCAATGCCTCGATACTCAAAGTACTCATTCCACGCAGGGTCAGAGATCAAATCTTGAGCCAGCCTCTTCTCATAGAATATAGAAAACTCGGGTCCTTCATCTGACTCAGGCGAAGGGTCTCGCGGTGGGTAAATCATGATGACGCCCGTGGTAACTCGGTTGATCAGATGGCGGTACGTGACGGGCGTTGCGAAGCCAAAGTCGAGCCTACTGACACTGGCGTCCCGGTGATCGGCTTGCAGAATCGACAAAGGTGGCTGAGCGTCGATACGTATGTTCATGGTAGTCTTGTCACGAGCCGTCGCAACCATCTCCAGTGTTTTGTCCAGTGACTCTTGGGTGACGCTGTTGGTCATCTTGCGGATATAGGCGGCGATCTGCCACAGAGGCCACTCCGAGATGACCTCTCCCACATTAGGCTGCTCCACCGGCGCAGTGGGGGATATAGCGGAGAACATGGCATTTTGCTGTAGGCGGGCTGGGGGCTTTGGGTTGTGGAAGCGCCTCCTCATGTCAATCGTCTCGGACCAGAAGATCTTGGACGACATGTCGGGGTTGAACACAGGAGCACGGACACGTGTAAGAGTGCGCCAGATGAAGGCTGAAAATGCATCATAGGTTGAGATCCAGCTACCATCTTCAGGAGTGGCCAACCTTTTGAGTTCAGCAGCCTTGCTCTTGGGCAGATGAAACAAGAGGGAAACGGCCTCGGTGTGGTCAGGGTGGCGCTGCTGGGGAGGAGGACCATCGATCTTCTCATGCTCAGGAGGTTCCATTTTGCAGAGCCTTGCCAAGTCGAGATTGGAAGGGTCCCAATCAGGGAAGGGTGTCTTGTTGGCAAAGGCGAAGCAATTCTCGGCAAGCTGATGGACTAGACCAGACCACCCCATTACATCGTTGGTGTAGTGGTGATGATGAATATGAAAGACCAGGCCGCCCTTGACAAAATTCGCCTTGAAAGCCGAGGCGACCGGGTGATTGTTTGGGTCGGCTTCTGGCTTTTCGCCGTACGTCATGGGGGGAACGCTCCAGAGTTCGAGGTTGCCCAGAGCCACGGCGTTGAAGTGCTTTTTCTCGATGTCATCGAAGGAAGGGTAGTCATGGTGGGGGGAGTCTAGCCATTGGACAACGAAGCGGACGGTGCTGTTCTTCTTCTTGACGAAAGAATGACCACCGCCAGGGTCCTTCTCGATTGTGCCACAGTAGTGTCTGGTTTGGCTGAGGGTGCGCTCAAGACCTGCTTTGAGCACCTCGACAGCTCTCGACTTGTCCGCATCATCTAGACGGAAGAACAGAGCATAATTGTTGTAGGTGCAGGCGGTAAGGTAGTCGAGAGTGGAGACGGGAAATCTCTCCTCGTCGGGGTCGTTTTCCCATCCAAAGGGATGAAGATAATAGACTTGTTGACGGGGCATGATTGCAACGGAGTGGAAGCTATGCAGAAACAAAAACTTGAGCTTGGATTAATTCGATGGCAGGAACCATGATTGCAGGTCTTTATGGTCCGCTCATGAGTCGAGCTGGCGAGTCGGCGAGTTGCCCGACTCCGTTCAGCGTCGGTTCGTTAGTTGTTGGCTCTCAGTGTATAATGCGACTCTGTGAAACATGACCCGCACAATATGATGGCTTATGACTGGGAGGCCCTCAACCCCATGAACCAACCGTTGCAGCGTCCCAAGTGATGATTGGTAACTCAGGCCTATTTTTATATATCTAAGCCCCATAACCTGTAGTCCACGTCACCGGACAGCACGTTGATCCCTACCAGTCTGTGCAGTTCTACGTGGTATCCCAACAAGAGCGGCTCGGGGTCCGATTGGACGCGTGCGACTATGTTGGTCGAGAGTTTAGCTTGGCGAGACTCTTGGCCGCAGATTGTGCGAAACATAACCTCCGATCCCTGAAGATGCCGAGGGGCGAATACGAGATGTAACGATGTTAGTTCTGAGACCCTCTCCTCCAACTTCCAAGGGACTAGGCATATTCAAAGGTCGCAGAATTCCTGAATCTTTAGCAGAAGCATTGTACATAGGCTTGAAAAAGCTTATTCCAAAGCAGAGTCCGGGTAGTTACAATGTTGTATTCGAGAGCCAAGGGCGCGTTTTGGTGGGGATTCGTCAGCCTTATCTTCGTCCAAATCAATGCCAACATAGCTATCATCGTTGCACTGAACCTTCAGTGTATCCCTCATGAGGCCATGTGAGACTTGAGGGTCGAGGGCAAGCGTTTGTAACTGTTCCATCTGCAAGTTTCTTCAGCGGCAATTCATGTCATTTGCGACATGACTATCATGTTGCTACCTCGGCGTGTCATTTGGAAGCTCGATATGGGATACAAGAAGACACTTGGTGTTTCTGTGATTTTAGTTTTGTCTACTGTGGGTTTATCCTTGTTGTGCATTTTGCCTAACATCTCTAATGGTTGGAATGCAGTGCTTATGTCTCGGCGGCATTCAGGCTCGCCTCGACCTTTGCATACGGCGACTCAAAACACGGCATCTGGAAACTTAAAACACTTGTCTTTTAGGTCACGGCAGAAATTACTTGCGGCTTTTTCATCGTCTATGTGCCCTACGTTCCAAATATCCTCTGAGAGAGCGGCGTATTGACCACGATAAAAAAGTCTATAGGCATGATAACGAGGTCTAGGTTGGCAAACTATAAGAATGACTGGTACGAGTTGGACCAGCAGGAACTTCGGCGCCGCGGTAGCCATTGGTAATACTCTAGGTGGCGTGCCCAGGATGACCGATTTAGTTGTCGCAGAGAGTTCGCTTGCGAATAAGTGAAGACTGAAGAGTAATAAATAGATGAAACATAGTCAAATATCTTGAAGTAAAACTCATTCCGGCATAAATGTTCTTTTTATTGATGACATCTCTAAAAGACCACTGAGAAGTCCCACGAGAGTGTATGCTCTAGTGTGTAGCGTGGCCTCGAATCATGATCGCCTTCATGCATCTCGCAAATACTGGGATGGCACGGATTCATTCCTGATTTATTTAGAAAAAAAGTCCTTGCTCATGCAGCTATCATGGTGGTCAAACTTTAATCATCGCAGCCAGGGCAAATACGCTCCATTACCCTAGATATTGCCACTGACGTGGTGGCCATTCAGTATGAGGAGCCATTACGTGCAAATACGGCGATAACCTGAATCTTCGTGTTATTAAATAGAAAATATAGCGCACGTATATGTTGAAGAAGGGACTTGGGAGCACAGAGTTTGGGTTTGGTACCGCTATCTCCTGCTGAATAGCTCACTTGCGCAACATGCCTATACATTGCGACCTACACCCTGCGTACTCATTTTATCTATCATTCGGTAACGACGTTAGATGATGAATTTCAAGATATCCGATCGCCTGATGCGGCAAAGAGATGACCGCTTTCAGAGGGATCACCGCTTGCAAAGCCTGCAGAGAGTGAACTGTTCTTTGCGAGCTGCGTGTGCATAAACGCTTCACTGCAAGAGGTCAATACTTTTGGTAATGGAATACCGAGAAACCAACATCAAGGCCCCGGGACGTCGGGGAGTATGGGTAGTCGCTATGTAGCCAGTCGATCAGTAAGCCAAGCCTGTGGCTGTCTCAGATATAGCGGGAAGGATGCCGTCAGCAAGCCAAGAGAGACTAGATTGTTGCGACCTGCATATGAATCCGCTTATCTGGGCAAGTTGATGAGCCACCCAGACAATTCAACACTATTTTTGGCCGCCGCATTAGCCGGACCTGCATGAAAATCCTCCGCGTCCCCCTCGGCTCGCTGTGAGCCCTGTCAAGCGTCAGGTCCCGATTGGACTTGTTTCTTGTTCATCATGACCACTCTGCCCCACTCTGCTCCACGTCGTGACTCCGCTACAGCTGAGAGATGCTGTTCATTGTCCAACTTGTTCCCTTAGCTGAGACATGCGGCTTACTCTCCGCAACTTATTCCCAGGACGCAACACTGAGAACCAGCCAGCGTTCATGTTTCACCGAAATGGTAGAGTATGGATCTTCGAGTCGCAAACCCTTCACCAAAACGAGACGATTACACGACTTGAGTCAAGGATCGGCATCAAGCCAACATCATGAGGAGGGCCATAATGACAGGCCATGCAACACAGACCTCTGCCGACTTTTAGCTTGAAGCTCTGTGAGATCAACGTAAGGCGTTGCGAGGAATTACGAGGATGTGAGGATGGGGTAACCAATGTGAGGAGGAATGGAAATCCAAAACTATATAAGTCAACCTTTGTCCTCATCAATTCTCTCTCATCAACAAGCACTCACAAGCCTCTCCCACCACTCCACACTCTTACCAACCAAACCACCAACTTCAATCTTCAAAACTGTTGAAATGGTTAAGATCGCTGCTCCCATGTTCCTCCTCACCGCCACCCTCGCCTCTCTCGGCGAGGCTCGCAACTGCAAGGCTGGCATCAGCTACTGTGGCAGCACTCTCCTCAACATCGGTAACCCAACTCAACGCCTGCGTCACAGCTATAGCCCATACTAACCATTCGAAGGCGACTACAGCAACCAGATCAACCAGGCCCTCAAGGCAGCCAAGCAGCCCAACGACTTCACCCGCGCCCAGAACTCCCTCTTCTACTGCGAGGGCGGCAAGCACGGCGACATCCGATACACCAAGCTCTGCACCGGTGGCTGCAAGGACCACGGTAACGGCAAGAGCGACACCTGTTAAGCGGTTTGCTTAAGCAGCTGACTTGATTATACACGCTCTTTGCTGAATCAACTGGCCCCTGAAACAGGATGGGTGGAATGGTCTTGTCTAGTTAGATCTCATTGTCCAGCTTCTATGGTGGATAGAGGTGGAAACCGTGCGGGGGAAGCATGATGCTTTGTGTTTAACCTAACTATAGTCACTCGTTATTTTACTTCGAGGAATAAAAAACTTCTCTACCTACTCAAGGATAACATCCACCAACTCTCGATCAACTTTCTTATCCACATGCCTGCCCTCTGGGTATGCTATGAGGTCAAATCATTTTTCAACGCCGCTGTAATTCACCCATCTCAAGTCTTCTCCAGAATTTCCCTGAGTCGGTTACCCACTACCCCTGTCGCTGGATGGCGATGTGGCGACAGAGGCCGAAAAGGATAGTATTGGTACCCTCGGTGATGACTATTCGCGGGATGAGGTGATCAAGGACGCGAATCGGGAGCAGTCTGAGGTTGAGTTCTTGAAGGAAGGTGACGAGTCTGGTAAGGTGGAGTGGATAATAGCTGATTTGGGAGCTGAGGAGTGACAGATCATGATTCGTTGCTATCCTGCCTCTTCAATTGCTAGGCCATTAGGGGATAGAATCTCTAAGAAGCCAGGCTCATGCTTTTTAATAGCTCTAACCAGTATCCCGGGAGGCTGTTGATACGGTCTTCATCCCAAGGCGAGGACCATCTGTTGGTTGAGATATACGATGCACGGGCTACGCCCGCCACAGTTAAACGAGCAAATAAGTATCTTAGTCAGCCCCTTGCATAAACTCAGCTCATATTAAAAGTACCTATCATACGTTAAAACTTCTACCTCTCAAATACGCTTTTGACCATCACTTTCAGCCTATCGGTGCACGCAACACTACGCGTTAGCCCTCCCCCTTTCAAGCGATGAAGCTGCAAAATCTTTTTGCACTTTTCGTCCTCGCTGTCGATGCATCTGAGATTTTCCCCCCTTGCCAGAAACATGATTGCGTCCCTTCCGGGGTTTACACAGCACCCGGAATAGGGTTCGGGCTCTCCTTTTCCTCTGGGTACGTACTCCCTCCTCACACAAACCGATACGCAAGTCGATTAACTGAAGAAACAGGACTGCGGCGGCACATCTCCACAATGGTACTGTCTTGGATCTCGCTTTCGTCCGCGCCAAACCAGACTACACCGCGCTCATGGCTCGACTTATCGCTTTACCGGAGGCTCCCCCTCCACTGAACCGATGGAGGAAATGGCGCAGGTCTATCAACAAGAAGCTCAGGAGGCCGGCAACACCAGACGTCGGCACCTTGGCAGAAATGCTTACCTCCCTTCGTGACGCTGCCACTACCGCTCTGGCTCCTATCAATCCGCTCGATAGGGTCGTTGTAACAACTCCACCAATGCCAGGCCTCGCAGACTACGATCTCATAGACGCTCTTGAGTACGCTAGTCTGCGACCTTGGGTGTGCTCTGACTTCTGCGAAGAACTACCCTACGCAGACCCAGGTTTCCCTTTCGGGCCAGGGGTAGGATACCCTGAAGAGCTGACCGAGGCACATGCTGTTATGGCGGGTCATGGACTTGGTCTATGCGAGGACTACGACAACTTGGACCTTTGCTTCAACGAAGAGCAATCTATGCCGCTGGAAAAGGTTATGGTGGTAGGGCTCACTGAGACGGACTTCCGGGCCGAAGTGATGAAGACACAGGGGTCATTTCCAGAGTTCCCGGATATTATCTATGGGTTTGTGGATCTGACGGCTGGACTTAATGCCCGTGGGGGTTTCCAATCTGAGGAGGCCTACTGGGCCTACATTGGCAGCAGATTGAAGATGCTAGTCAGCCGCCTGCCCATGAAACTCACGAGGGTCTGGCTCGCCGGAGAAAACTCGACGCATCCAGCCTTCCTTGACACCATTCGAGAGGCAATTGAGGGTAGTGGTCATGGCTATGTTTTCGGTCAGGGGGGAGTTGACGCCGGGCAACTGCTCGAAAGGAGCGGAGCGATCAGTCCTACATTTTCCAGCGCCAGGGGCGCAGCGCAGTACGCAAGATGGAGGCAACAAGCCCCGCTTGGATGTTATGAGAGGCCTGGGTGCAAGGATGAGCGAAGGGGAGATGGCCATGATAGCCGGGAGAAGAAAATTGATTTGAGATAAAAGCTTGATTTGGCTCTTGGTCGCGACGGGACGGCCTATTAGAGCGGTTAATTGAACTCTCGTAGCGATCACAGATATTCCTGGGCTCACGTCTCCAGGTATCTAATCTGTTCGGACCAGCCCAGCAACACTGGGTCATCAGCTGTTGGAGCACATTAAAGATCAAGTTTCGAAGCCGCATGAAAGAATTACAAGTTGCTCTAAGCATAATACTTAACTCCTCACGACACGATTCGGAAGCAAAGCGTGCTATAGGCATCGCCCCAGATGATCATTACGAATAGGTGTTGTAGCTGAACCGGCTTGAACAATAGCGGATTATTCGGTAGTACTGCTTGCTAAAAAGATGATCCAACATTAAGGTCTGGCCAATGTCTTCCGTGCGCGAAATTTACCTCTCCACACATGCCATGCCTCGAACCCCCTACAACAACCGAACCTGTTTCACCTCTGGAACAAGATCGACAGCCTCCCCAGCCATTATCCCATACACGAAAGCCTCGCCAACTAGCCTATGCTCTTGACCCGGTGCCTCATGTTCCCGAAGCAGAAACGGCGTCTTGCCCCCCTTCAGGACAAAAATGGCATCTCCTACCCGCGCATTCCAGGGAGCTAGGCCGAGGTACCCCCTGGAAGTGACGAGGAGCCTCCGGTGGGCACAGGCTTGATAGATCCGACGTACACAATTGCCGTACTCTTTGCAGGCACTCTCTTCGAGCTTGAACTCGCCAGTTGCCTCAGAACCAATCCACCTTAGAGTTTCTCTGAGGCCCATGGCTTCAATTTCCTCGTCTGTCTTCTCGGGCTTCTTGTTCCACTCCCTGCAAAAGTCTCTCACGTATTGGGTCATCCTTTGCATCTCGGCTCCATGTTGCATGGCTTTCGACCAGAAGCTTCGCATGTGGTATATGCTCGAGACCAAGTTCGCTGGATCGACGAGCGGCTTGGCCCACCCATCTCGATCGTACCAGCACTCCACAGCCCAGCCAAGAGAGGTTGGAGCAGCCTTCTTCCCTGCAAAGTCAGCTATGTGTGTCCGCCAGAGAGCTTCTCTACGAGCTTTACCCCCGCCGTACGGGCAGGCTGGCCCTAGCTCGGCCATGGCGAGGGTTTCCCACTTCTCGAGCTCGCTGGCTTGGCGACGCGACAACTCGAACACGTCTGACTCTGGATGCCAGGCGTCGGAGAGGTGAGAGATGAGATCAAACTCTATACCTTCCACGACAAGCATGCGGAGGTTTGTAGATGGATACACAGTGGCAGGGCCCAACCTACTACCTGCGCAGTACAAGGGCTCAGTCTCGGACCAGTCAAGGAGTGGTGCGGGATCGAGATGCCTCTTTCCGGCCCAGTTGGGCACCCAAGTGGGGAGCTTGGCGAGGTCTTTGACCAGTTTCTGGGGTAGTCGATATGGCTGATAGGCTGGGTCATATGCGACTCTGGCTTTGCCCAGGTTGTCCCATGTCTTTGTCCAGCCTTCGGGGAGAACCTTCTGCAGACTGATCTCTTGTGCCGCTGATGGCGGCTGGCCCTCAAATGGACTCCTTTCATGCCGCATCCCTGTGTTCCTGTCCATATAGTAAAAAGAGTCCTTGCTTTGCTGCACTCTCTCCCAACCCGGGGGAAGCCGCACCCAGCCCATCCTGGGCTTATCTCCTGGTCTATCAGCCACGAGGCCGCGGATATCGTGATACCGAGCTTGGTCGAGCATACTAAACACCAAAGGGGGCTCTTCCCTGGATTCCACAGTTCTCCACTCCCTCATGCAATTCAAGATATCCAGCGTGCCAGTGTGTTTGATCATAGACTTTGCAAACCGGGCGTATGACCTCCAAACCCGTGCCTTGTAGTCAGCCTTAAAGTCAGGATGCGACACGAGAGATGTCAATCCCAGGAAGCCATAGATTCTGTCCCGGGCGTTTGAACAGCGAAGCCCCCTAAAATCGTAGAGCATCTTGTAAACCGAGACATGGAAAACTCCCTGTGCCCACTTCTGACGATATTCATTGACTGTCAGGTACTTGTCATTGAAGAGGTGGGCATGCTTGTTATCACCAAGTCCAAACTCATCCTCAGGCCCTGGCGCCCTCCAGATGGAGTTCTTGATTGCTACCTCGATCCGATCCCAGGTCGCAGTCTGGTCTCCGCACATGATCACAATCTTCTTGGCAACGATGGCCTCTTGCATGATCCGCACGCGGTCCCACCACGGCCTATTGAGCGGCTCCCGAATCTCTCCGTGCTCGAACTCGTACGCGCGATGACTCGAGTCCTGCATGGAGCTGCCACCCTTGAATCTTTGCGAAAGGGGCAACAGCAGACCGCCATGCTTCCTCTCTGCCTTCCAACCATGCCAGGACATGGCGTTATTGAGGATGCGGCCGTTATTGATACTCTTCATCCCGATCAGCGCACTTTCCGTCAGCTCTCCCAGCCACACACACACTTGCTGCGCCTCCTGGTATATCCTCGTCATCAATGGGAGTTGGTATCCCTTTTCTACCTTGTCACGCTGGTTGATGCAAATGGCATCCACCCAGATAGTTCGCATCTGCCCGGAAACCCGAAGCCGGCGGAGCACTGCCGCCGCGTTCTCCATCACCATGAAGGGCTGTCCGTTGAGAAAGATACTCGTTTGATTCTCTTTTCCACCCCACGTGTAGCTCAGCGCTTCAAAAGGAGGCCTGTGGTCGAGGTTGACGTGGCGTATAGTGCAGGCTATCGGTTGGTCGAGCCCAGCTGCTGGATGAATGTCGAGGACGCGGATGTGAGTGGGTGATTTTATAGGGCGGTAACCGAATAGAGGAGCGGTCGATTCGCCTTCCGGCTCTGACTCTGACTCAGACTCTCCTTCCTCTTCTCGGATAGTTATGGTCCCCATGCGGGATACAACTGAGTCAACGCTGACCTCAAACTCTGACTGATTCGGTGTTTTGACAGAGCCTTCACTGCGATTTGATTGATGTATCGCTACTGGCTTTCTCCTCACGGAGCTCTTTGGCGACAGATAGGCAGACTGTTGAGCTGGATTTGACTGAGTTGTTGGTAAATTGCTGGGTGCGGTTGCGACTGAGCTATGGATGCTCGCATGTGGCTCAGGCAGCAGGATCTTGTATCGAGGATCACTCCAAGTAGTGACCATAGAAACCGAGTTGGCAAAGTAAATGTGCCCTTCTGGCGTGTGCAGTATCGACCATCCATCCCTGAGCTCTTCTTTGAATGTCCACCCAGTTTGAATATCTGTGATCGGGGCGTCTAACAGAGTGGTCAGGCCTGTTGACCTATCGAGTACAGAGGGCGAGCCGTTCGTGGTCCAAGTCAACTCCCATTCCGCTGGCAAGAGAGTCGTTTCGCCGTCTCTCGGGTCGTCCCAGCTAGTCGTCTTGGTGTTATGATTTACGTAATAGGCTCTCCCGTCTGACGTTGCTCGAGCCTCCCAACCATCTGGTAAAGGGCTTGGGTGCTCCCAGGTTGTAGTTTCCGTGTTGTGATTTACAAAGTATGCGCGACCCGATGCAGGGTCATATCGTTCCTCCCAACCCGGAGGCAGGGATCTGCCCGCCAAACGCGGATCTTGCGTGGTAGCCTTACGGAGGTTGCTGTTCCAGAAACATATCTTGCCTTGAATGCAGGACATCCTCCACCCTGCCGGCAACTGACCCAGCGTTTCTGTAAGGGCTGGGGTGGTTCTTGGGTCCTGGATGGTCGCGACCCTTGTCTGCAGGTTGAAGAAAAGTGGCTTGCAGTCGCTATTCCATCGGATTTCCCACCCTCCTGGTAGGGGACCAAGCTGACGGATTCCATACAGAGGGTCACGCAAGGACTCGGAGCCACTCAAACGGTCGACAAAGTACACCCTGCCATCGACAGTGAAGCGCTGTTCCCAGCTCAGGACAACAGGCTCTGTGACATGATTGATGGTAGGAGCGCTGTCACTTGCATGAGCGCCAGGGCCAGAACGCGCGGGATGGTTGTCCTGGGACTGCTCGACGGCGAGGAGCGCTGTCCCTCCGATAGGCTGTAGCTGGTGTGATGCGTCGTGGATCATGGTGTTCCGGGAAAGACTCCGCTGTGTTGCTCGCTTTAGGATGAATTGCCATATTCTCTGAAGAAGATTTTGGGGTTTAAACAAGTTAAGAGATCAAGCGATCCAAGTTGTATTTCATTTTTCTGGTGGCGACATCACCATCAGCTGAGAGCCTGGTTGTCTTGAAGGGTGTTCAGCTTCAAGCCACTAACGAGGCACATCCAATGAAGTCGCTCGATCAACCAATAATCGCCAAGTTTCCGAGGCCCAGAACGATCGATCCAGGTTGACGAAAAGAGTGGCTTATCACTGCGAAAGTTGTCATGGTCTGGAGGCAATGAAGCACAACTAAAATTCCGCGATCTCCCCACCTTGCTGCCAGCGTTGTGGGAAAAATAGATCCAGCCTAATAAGGACTTGTATGAATTCATCCAAGAGTCAATTCAATACTCTCTCTTGCCTGTGCCTCCCAGAGTTGCCGCTCTACCCGCCCCAGGCCCCTCCTATACGCAACATCACCTTTCCTCTCAACCCACAAGACAAAGTAATATTCGTAAAAATCACCATTTTTCGGCCTCTCCTCATGATCCCATTCGTCCAGCACCTGATGATACGGCAGCCACTTTCGAGCATCTTCAGGGACAGACCCAAGGGCGACCTCGACCAGTTCTATAGGTTGGTTACTGATATCATCTGTACCTCTTTCCATCCATGTAGGTCTTTCGTGCAGCCTCAGAGCCCCAAGCCACGTAGATGTCACGCCTCGAAGCGATACAACTATACCGCCTCTTCTGTACGTCGGCGTGATGACCTCACCACGATATGCGAACGCTCTTTTCGTCTGGCAAGAAATGAACGGTGCAGCTATCTGGGTTCCTATCAGAGGTGATGCGTCTGGCAATGGGATTGGATACCAAAACTCAGACTCTGGCTCTGATTCATGCTTGTAAAAGTAATGCGGTGGATAACCCGGTTTTGGTCCCTCGTAAATGAATTCCTCTACTGAAGACGGAGGTTTGGTTTCGTGTCTCGTCCAGCCCGGGGGACAAGGAGGTGGTGCATTTAAGTTCTTCCTAGAGAACCTCTGCTGGTAATCGAACCACGTGCAATGAATTCGGGTGCTTTCTGCTTTGAGATTCTTTCTCCAGCTCCATTCCACAAGGGGCTTGACTCTGTCAAAGAAACGTGCTCCCTCCCTGATTTTGCTTGACCTCACAAAGTCCAAGGCTGGCGACCAGGCGAATGGCGCAAGTCCGCCTTTCCAACCTATCCAGCTCCAGCTCGGTAAGCAGACATCTGTATGTGAATATGTTACTGCCTGTCGTCGAGTAAGTGTATCAAAGGGCTCCCACAGGACTGCGATGTGAAAGATGGCGGCTGGAAGACCAGAGATGAACCCTCCAACAAATCTAGGCGTGAAAGAATTGAGGACACCAGTCAATCCGTTCAGGGCGTCTTCCGGGTACGTCAGATCCCTCCTATTGTACTGATTGATCATGGAGTTGAGCAGTTCCAGATTCGGGACGGGCCTGGAGATGGCTCTGCGTACATCTTTTCCAGCACCATCTGCGTCGCGCGCCTCTCCAACCTCACACCAGGTATCACGGGCGCAGATCCATCGTACCCAGCCGCCCTCGAAGAGAAGTCTGCGTTGCGAGAAGACGTACTCTTGATATGTCCATCCGCGTGTACTCCATTTTGTGGGTTCCGCGTATAGCCCAGGGGAGGGTCCGATGCTCTCAACGATCTCAATCCCAGGCCGTAATGTATGAATCTTCTGTTCCGCAAACCTCGGTGAAGTGAGACCCTCAAGCCCCGGAAGACCGCTGTCAGCGTCGAGTCCGTCTGCGGCAATTATCGTCAAGGTAGCGTTGGAGTAAATAGCCGCCATGTTGTTGATCTCGGTACTTTTCAGTGAAAAGTCATCTTGGACGATGCACAAAGAATCTGTCCAAAGATATCGCTCACCAAGCTCTTGAACACAGCTCATGGCATCCCGAATGGTCCTTGGGATGGGTATGTCTGTATTGCCAGCGGCCAACGACGAGGGTTTCTGTAGCTGAGCAATGTTGTTGAGTTTTGTCATGAAAGTAGGTACTTTGCCCCATACATAGCTTAAAGCTACATACTTATCGGAGGGCAATGGTCGCACGAGGCATTGACGCTGAACGTCGATGACCCATGTTGGCTGAATTCCATGTCCGAATTCCGATGCTGACCCGCAGGCATTCCCATGTAGAGCAAGACATTTCTTATTCCACTGTCTAACCAGACCAGACTGGATCCATTGTGGGTTGACAAGTTTCCCTGGGCCCTTGATTGTTCGGCCATCCTGTACTTTTGAAAGCAGTTGCAGCTCCCCTGATCCGAATTGCTTCTCGCCATCTGAAGACTTGATAGTGGCGACAATTTGAATGTGGTCATATCCTCGAAACGGCAAAAGAGCTATGTCTTCCGCAGCATTGGGCTTTAAGTCAACCCCTAGGATAGCGGCAAGCAGCTTTGGGTGGTAGGGGCATCCGGATGTCAAGACTTCCGGCCAGTCTATGCGGCAATCTGGATAACTAGGCCTTGGGAGACCAACCGGCACTTGAAGCAGACTTAGCAATTTGTCGCAGACGGGGCACTATTAGTCATGTCAGTGATTTTGTGTGAATTGTGAATGAGCCACATGCCTCTTCTGAAAGACAAGGCTCTGCCAACTGGCTTGTCTCCGATGTTCCTGTTGGTTGTATGCCAGACATGGCTTCCGAGACTTCTGATCTTCAAACTTTGCCAGTTTCTATTCTCCAAAGCAAGATAAGTTAAGTGTTTTTGAGGGCTATGGATTTTGCCAAGGGAGAAGTCCTATTAAGAGGTTGCGAAGGTTTCTTACAATCATGACCGATCAAAATATGCATTGATACCCAATTTTCCACGGCATAGTTATTAGCCCACGTGACTTCTTCTGGATGATGGAAACCTTGGTCTTTCGCAAAGCCTTTGCCCGACTCGACCTGATCAAGCTTCAGTCGGCAATTCAACTATTTTCTGGTAGACGGAATGTCTCTACAACTTAGCCCCAGTTTGTATTGTGTTGGAGTATAGGGTACCTGACACTCTCCTTGCCAAAAGACTCTTGATGTAAGGCTCCAGCGCCTAACTACATTGAGTCTAAGGCACTGGTGTGAAACTGATGCAGGGTTGTCAAGTTACGGGCCCACCCGGCAGTTGTTGGTGGAAGAAGAAACGGGGCTCTTTATCATAGGGCTGATCTTGGAACAGGGGGCTAAGATAAGGAACAGTCTTGCAAGGATCGGTAATGACGGCCAACTTCCCAGACGCCACGTATTTTTATATCAGGCTTGCATCCGGTGAATGAATCGATTACAAGCATAGCGTATTTGGGACGTGCTTATGCATAAACTTCGTACGATTGCAAGCTATCAACATCAAACCCCCACTCTCCTGACACCCAACCATTCCCTCACCCCCCGCCGACCACTCCCCCTCCCAGATCAACTACTTTGAAACTCCACATATCCAACTACCTAGCTCACAGAAGAGAGAAGAGAGTAAGAGCGTTGGGGCCACCACAGGTGGTAGTCGAGTCACCAGCGCAGGCCTTGTTGCAGGTGCTCTGAGCAATAGGGGCACCGGTGTTGTCGATGGTGTTCCCGCAGAAGCACTGGTTGCCAAACTCGGTACCAGCGTACTTGTAGCCATCGTCAAGGCAGGCGTCTTGGCACTTCTTGTTGGTGTTGCCGGCAATGTTCAGAGACTTGCTGAGAGTACGAGCGTTGGTGGCGTCAGAGTAGCATCCGAGACTAACCCAGGTGGGCACAGTAGAAAAGATCTGGATGGCGTTGAAGCCGCCGCAAGTCTGGGCACTGTCACCGGGGCAAGCGTAGTTGCAGTCGGTCGAGGGGACCAGAGTCTGCTGCAGGGCAGCTCCACAGAAGCACTGGCTACCAAACTCGACACCAGCGTAGGTGTAGCCGGCATCGGCGCAGCCAGCCTTACACTTGGCAGGTGTGTTCCCGGCAATGTTGAGCGAGCTGCCAAGCACGCGGGCGCTGGTGCTGTCGGTGAAGCAGCCCAGGTCCTTGAACTCCTGGGTTGGTTGAGGACCACAAGAGCCGAAGCCAGCTTGGCAGCCAGTACCACAGTGGAGGTCAGTCTTACCGCAGTAACCGAACTGGGAGCAGCAGTTTCCGTATCCAGTGCCAAGGCAGGTGGTAGACCCGTTGAAGGCACCACAGATACCGTTCAGAGAGGCGGGCACAGCGCGAACCTGGAGCATCTCAGGGGATTCCTGTAGAGAATTGTTAGCGTGGATGATGCGATAAGGGGATCGGCAGACATCATGCATACCAAGGACTGAGCGGGCATGGCCCAGGTGGCAGTGGCGGCCGAGACGAGGAAGAAGGCACTGGAAAGCATCTTGATGGTTGTTTGGCTTTTTGGAGCTGGTGGTTGTTAAGACGAGAGAAGATGCTTTCAGGACTGTAGAGATCTGGGAGCTGGTGAGGACAAGAGAACTGCTCTCCATCGTGAACGTCTGCGCTCTTATAGAGAAGAACACAATCAAAGCTCGAAGTCTAGACTTTACAATTTCATCTTGACTGACATTGTTTAGGCGCTTTAAACCGAGATTTCTAATAGTTTACAGGAGGCTGTCAATAGCTTTACAAACTGGGCCAAAGACAAGAAAGAGCGAGGCATAGTGCAGCCTCATTCAGGTCACCGCCAGGCTCAATGAGTCCTTTTGGGAAGCTTTCTGTCAGCTGCACTCAGCTGTGGCGTCCAAGACACTCTGCCTGGTCTTCCGAAGAGCCGTCGGAGCCTCGCTTAGGCGGAGCAATGCCCATACAGGTGCCTGTGGCTCATTGTCTGGTGCTCGTCCAAGCCATGACTACACGCAGAGGCTGGGGAGCATTGCCTCTCTGCAGGCTGACGAGGACTATTGACGGGAGGTCGGTCTGGCCTCACAGCCCAGACCTATCTAGGTCGAGAGTGTGTATCAGCCCGCCACCTCTTGGAGTTCGTCCGCAGGTAACCAGGGGTTGCGTTGCCCAAGGATGCCAGCATCCCGGTTGTTAGTGCTGTTAGCGCTAATCAATGATTTTGGATTTATTGATTCTTGGCAGGCCATAAATAGCAGGTGTAATGGACTCGGATATTGTCTTCGCAATGCCGTCATGTGTTGATCATGCCGTTGTTTGCTGCTGTAATCGCCGGCCCCTTTGGAACCGCCTTGATGATCAACAACAATGCCCCCTTCAGAGATGAGTCACAATAATCGAGATCTCGAATCCAATGGAACTCAAAGATGGTGAAGTACGGGTGTTCTAGAAATATCCTGAGTTCATCCAGCGAGTCCCGCGTCTATTAAATCTATTTAGCCTACAAAAGTGATCTCAGTACCTACTCCCATGAGAGAAAGAAAACCCCGTTTTCCCTTAGCTCTAACTCACCCACTAGCACTTCTATTAGTTCGAACTTGGCATTCAGCTACGAAACACCCAGATCATACCCCAGTACCCAAACTCATCCTAGGTTGAGCATGCCCCCTCTTGCCACATCTTGACTGACCGCACAATCATACCACGGTCCTTCTCCTCTCCCCAACTGGGCAGCCACGTGTTCTTGGCGTCCCAAAAGTCACGCATGGGAGCTGAACTCTCATCAGACCACGGCTTCTCGCCCAGCTTGTCCCTATGTTCGTCAGTATTGTGATTTTCCTCCTAGTGGCAATGTAGGAGAAACTCACGGGAACCAGCCGTTTGTGGAACCAACAGCAACGTTTAGAATGAGGTAGAAATCCTGGTCGAAAGGAGTGTTGGATCGTCCAGTTTGACTCCAAGTATCCCTGTGGACTGTCTTGTTGACTGTGATGCCGGCGAATTTACCGTATTCCCACATGTTCTTGTTCTTGGTAAAGTCAAAGAAGACGATTTGCTAAGAAAGGGGTAAGTTAGTGGCGAAGACAGAAAAATGATTGAAAATTTCACTTACGCGTAGTCTTCCATCAAGCCACGTAAAGAGGTACTTCTCATTCCATTCAAGGCCAAAGGTGTGAAAGTTGTCCGAATACTTGGTCCTCTTGGAACCCCATTCGCCCATGCTGAGGCGAAAGGCATCGGTATCATACAGTGTACCCCAATGCATTGCCGAGCTGACAATGTTGTTACCGAGAGGGTACTTTTCTGCATCGTTACCACGCGACTCCATAATGTCGATCTCGCCGCTACGGGGCCACTCGCCATAGACTGAGTCTTGGGGCATCATCCAGATGGCGGGCCACATCCAGTCTCCAGAAGGAAGCTTAGCCTCAACTTCAACGCGGCCATACTTAATACTCTTCTTGCGCGACGTGGTGAGACGGGCAGAGCGGACGGGATTGATCATGGCTCGGCTGGTCGCATTGCTACGCGCCCAGCAGGGATTGTTGAAGGTGAGGTTGGATAAGCGCTGGTGGTCGAAGGTACAAGTTCCATCTCTGGTGAGGTTGACGACGTGTCTGTCGAGCATTTGGTCCTCGGTGAGCTTGGTTTTCTCGAGTGTCAGTGTTGGGACGATATGGAGGCCCTGCTCATCGACGTAGGCGTTGGAAGGATCATCGGTGGTCCAGTCAAAGGATCCAGTTCTTGAGACGTCAGCGGGGTCACTGCCAGACCGTCAGGAAATACGAACCCGAATCCGTTCATCTGAATCTCATGACTCCAGGTATTCTTATCCAATGTCGTGAAGCGGTCGTCGAGAATGAGGCAGTACTCATTCTTGGGAATCTTTCGGACGGTGTTCCACGCGATGTAAGCCGAAATACCTAGGCAAGTTAGCACCAATGAATTAGCTGTAGGTGAGTCACTTACAGAGAGCGATGAGGACACCACTGTAAAAGATGATGCTATCCCAGTTTGTCTCACGCTTCCAGTCGGCGAGCCATGGCTTCTCATACCTATAACTGATGTTAGACAAGCTTGCACCAGATGATAGCGATCTTACTCACTCTCCAACAAGCCGCGAAGACTTGAACTTTCGGCGAGGTTTCTCTGACTGGGGTGTTAACAATGGTCAACAGTTGTTAGGTGATCACTAACCATCAATTGTCACAGATGTCAATGACCAGCCTTGACCTTGGTAGGATGAGACCCTACTACCACGACCAAGCGCTGGAGTTGAGGACTGTGGAGGAGTGCCAACCGCGTCTGGGTAGGGAGCCGTGGCTGGGAGGCCCTCTGTCTGCGTCGGAGCTGGTCTCGACATAGCAGCGTAATTGGAGCTGGAAACGCAGGGGTAGATAATGGGAGACTCGAAAAGACAAAGAGACGGCGCTTTCAAAAATTCTGAGTTGTAGTATTATGGGCCGCAGTTGTGCTCTGTGATAAGGGGCACGGGTATTGGACGTTCATATGGTGAACAAGCCCTCGCCTCCCGATCTTGCCTCAACAAATTCAGCTTTAGAAAATGCCCATGTTTCTCGTATACGCTGGCCGATCGCCATGTTCTGGACCCCTTAGCCGAGATCTGGACTTTATCAAAAATGATGATATTTCCCATAGACATTGCGCTTATCGCCATCTTTTTACTTGGCACTGCCGTTCTTGATAAAGACAAACCTTGACCTCAGCTCCAGAACAGCAAGCCATGCAGTCAGTGACCCCCATGTTGGGAAAGACCAGGGGTATCGGGTCATGGCGTTTTGTTCCATCTGGCTTGACTCGACGCCCGCCCATGCACGCTCGTACAGCCAACATGAAAGGGCGGGAACAAAAAAGAGTTCCCCGAGAGACGCTAATTGCGGCATATCGAACGACCAACAACTGTTTTTTCTCCTTTCTAGCGCCCCGGCACTTGACTGTCACCAATCAGGTGTGAGGGTAAGGGTATCAACTAGTG